ACAAATTGCCTGCGATCAAAGTTAAGAATTCTTAGGGCTACGAACGTTTCGAAAATAAGGGCCCAGGTGTTTGGCTTTTTTCGCAATACGTACTCAAAGTTTGGGAATTGAAGTCACAAAACCCTTTTCAAAATATTTACGTTGTTTGGGGAAAATATTTCCAAAACTCCAAATGTGTAGTTTCTTTTGTACGTCAGCTTATTATCCCTTGAAAGACCAACGCTTCTATTGACGAATTTCGTTCCAGGATCTTCACAAGAGGGTGCCGCGGGTACTGATGGAGAGGTGAGTGAAAACGTGTTTACACATGAATGCTATTGCGATCAAAGTAATGTCTTTTTGTGAGCACAAAGGTTTAAAATGTCATTGATGGCATGATCTGCTGGATTGGACCTTATCATATGGCAAAGGTGAAGATCCGGGTTAGAATCGGTCTTCAGCAAGGCTGTGTATTGGCAAATAAATTGCATTGCGATATATTGCGAATCAGGTACCCGTATTGCGATATATTGCGAATCAGGTACCCGTATTGCCATATATTGTGAATCAGGTACCCGTATTGCGATATATTGCGAATCAGGTACCCGTATTGCGATATATTGCGAATCAGGTACCCGTATTGCGATATATTGCGAATTAGGTACCCGTATTGCGATATATTGCGAATCAGGTACCCGTATTGCCATATATTGTGAATCAGGTACCCGTATTGCGATATATTGCGAATCAGGTACCCGTATTGCCATATATTGTGAATCAGGTACCCGCATTGCGATATATTGCGAATCAGGTACCCGTATTGCGATATATTGCGAATCAGGTACCCGTATTGCGATATATTGTGAACCTAAGTGGTTGACAGTGAGTGGCGCTAATGTGTTCATCAATCCTATTTTCTACACAGTCCCGTAACATATATGTTATGGTTCTGATAACAGCAATCTCCAAATTAGGTTACAGTCATGGATTCTATTTTCTTTTTTAAAGAATTTATTGTATTACAGTCTGCCGTTTTGTCATTGAATAACGAAGGAAATCATTTGTTGTGAATGACAGTAGGTGTAGATTTTAATTCAAACCATAAGATAATCACAAAAACTTCATATACGTTCTTTACCCAAAATACCGGTTCTTAGAAAAAAATATTGCAATACGTATCGTATTTGAAAGCGTATTGCGATATACCGGTAAACCGGTAATACCGCGCAGTGCTAGTCTTCAGCAACCCATGCTGTCGTATCTCAGTTGCGTTGATCAATCACTGGATTGTCTGGTCCAGATTAGACTGACTGACTGACTGAGTTTGGTTTTACGCCGCTTTTAGCAATATTCCAGCAACATCACGGCGGGGGACACCAGAAATGGGCTTCACACATTGTGCCCATGTGGGGATTCGAACCCGGGTCTTCGGCGTGACGAGCCAACGCTTTAACCATTAGGCTACCCCACCGCCCCCCAGATTAGATCATTTACAGACCGCAGCCACATAGCTGGAAAATTGCTGAATGTGGCGTTTGGAGTGAGTGAGTGAGTGAGTTTAGTTTTACGCCGCACTCAGCAATATTCCAGCTATATGGTGGCGGTCTGTAAATAATCGAGTCTGGACCAGACAATCCAGTGATCAACAGCATGAGCATCGATCTGCGCAATTGGGAACCGATGACATGTGTCAACCAAGTCAGCGAGCCTGACCACCCGATCCAGTCTTACGACAAGCATAGTCGCCTTTTATGGCAAGCACATGGGTTGCTGAAGACCTATTCTATCCCGGATCTTCACGGGTCTGTGGCGTTTGGAAACACGAAAAAGAAAGACAATCACGGACAGCCAAATAATCCTAGAAGTTATGAAGTGTTCTCATCATGAGCCTCATTCCCTATCTCATTTAAATTCAAAATAATATTATTGTAATTTTGACAATAATGAATAGAAAATTGTTGCAATACATATATATTTGTAAGCTATGTACCAGTAAGTGGGACAGCCCCAAACAAGCTTATTTTGGATAATCCTGCCCCCTGTGTCGTAGAATATTTTGATTTCAAAACACCCTCCCATGTCCCATGCGTTGCACTTAGATTTCCATAACTATTCGAATTTACCCGTTCACGTTTTATGATAGGAATAAGAGGACGAATATCATGTCAAAGTTCGTTAACGAGCCTGCGTATTTTTTCTTTTCCATTTTTTCCAGGCACAAACCGAACATGGGGGTCGCACATCTGAAAATCAGTACGTATGATGTGACAAAGGACATATACTATTCCCAAAAAGAAACGCATAACCCAGAAATCTGTTGCGAAAATGTTGTATTTTTAAACATGTATAACTCGTCCACAAATAGAGTTTAGTACATGAATTTTTATATCGGTTTAGAAGAAGATAATCTCCAGCGTGCATTCTTTCAATGGCAATGTTCCGTGTCGCAGCGTCAAGACGTGGCGTAGTGATTTGACCTTGAAACTTCTTCAAAACGAGTGCCGATTTCCGAAAGTAATCTGGATTTTTATAGCCAGACAGTGCATGCTCTTTGCTGCACAATTTCAACTGGAAGGTGATTTCTGTTGCGTTGTGGCGATGCCTTTTTAATCCTTGTAAGAAATCTCATCAAAATCACCATTTTCAGGTAAAGTCGATTTTTGACTTGTACAATTCTGTAAAATCATGTTATCAACACTTTTGTTACATATTTTCACGATTGTTTAAACACAATAGGCAATTAATAGATTTATAAAAATACAAAATGCCAATGCGATTCTTTTTTGGGATAGTATATTACAATTAGGTGGATACTAATATTTCAGTTTAGAATATGCTATCGAAACATCAGTATTTTGTACACTGAACGTGTTGTCAGAACGACTGACTACTGACAACCATTATCTGAATGAACACACACATATATATATATATATACTCTCCCAAAAAAAGAAACGCATATAGGAATTTCAACTGTATTTTTATGTTTATTTTGAAACATCTTGTAGGCTTTATGAGTCAATGAAATATAGCGAAATTGCACACTGGGAATGCAGACTTATCCGTCTTTGGCACCAACTCGAGGAAAGTCAGTTTGAGTGTCACATGGAGACGTGTGGTGGCGCTGAAGTCAATACCTCGTGTGACCACCGTGGGCATCCAGAACTGCACGGCATCGCCTCGGCATCGAACGAATAAGTCTCAGAATCTCGTGTTGCCCAATTGCAGCCCACTCTGCCTGTAGTGCCTGTGCGAGTTGCTGAAGTGTCTGGGGCTGAGGGTTACGGCGTCGCACCCGTCTGTCCAGGGCATCCCACAGATGTTCGATCGGGTTTAAGTCCGGTGATCTTGAGGGCCAGGGGAGCACATTGATGTTGAGGTTCTGGAGGAAGTCTCTGGTTTGACGTGCTGTGTGGGGCCTGGCATTGTCCTGTTGAAACAACTCCCTCTGGCGATCAATGATTGGAAGGAGGTGTGGGCGTAGGATTTCGTCACAGTACCGTTGAGCTGTCAGGTTACCCTGGATCACCACCAGATCACTTCTTCTACGGCAGGTGATCTCCCCCCCACATCACAACACTTCCCGGCCGATTCTGTCCACCTGGGGAACGCAAGCGTCGGCGAAACGTTCACGTCGACGTCTGTACACCCGCATTCTTCCATCGCGTCGTTCTAATAGAAATCGTGATTCATCACTGAACCAGATTCCACGCCAATTCGGTAGGTTCCAGGCTTGAACGTTGGTGCACCGTTGAACTCGATGTCGACGATGTTGTTGTCGAAGCGCAGGGCCAAAATAAGGTCTTCTGGCACGTAAACCAGCCTCTCTCAACCTGTTCCTGACGGTCTGTGCAGAAAGCCTCCTCAATCCGGGTATTTGTCGAGCGGTACTGGTCGCCGTAGCTGTCTCGATGACGCAGGTGATGTACCCGGATGTAGCGATCCTGCGCCCGCAGTGGTCGCTCGAGGTCGCCCACTACGAGGGTCATCTGCTACCGAATTCTGCCGGCCATATCTCTCTCCCAGAGCCGTGAAATGGTGCTTTGGTGAACATTCATGTATCGGGCAACTGCACGTTGAGACTGGCCAGCTTCAAGCAAACCAATGGCGATATGACGGTTGGCTTCACTTAGACGTGGCATTTTGCGTTCGTCAACAATATTCCAAATACAGTGAATAATCGACAGACAGCGATCAACCTTTTATACCCATCATTGAGACTATCTGATCCCCAACTTTCACGTGCATTGCATGTGAATTGTGTATTCTGTGACACTACATGCCGAAATTGAAAATCATGCTGTTAAATACGGGTATTTTACGGATGGTGCGTTTTGTTGGACCATAGGACTCATAAACAGAGCAAAACCTTTTGTAAAATGAATCACGTTTTAATTCATTGCTACATGAAATTACTATCTTCATGATGCGTTTCTTTTTTGGGAGAGTATATATCAATATATGTTATTTCTATAGCGCCAATATCCAGCTCCTCAAAGGCGCTTTGATTTTCCCTCGATCATTTTATGTCAATCTCAAATGGCACATAGTATCATCAATCACAGCTCCCTTGGAATCATACAGCCATTTAGGCCAACCAAGTTAATGTGGCGTTCCCATCCTTACGAGGTACCCATTCACAGCTGGTTTTACTGCACACTGCTGTACCCGCAACTAGGTGTTTGCACGTATTCATGTGGCCACCATCTGGTCATATACCAACGGATTCGTGGGTTCTTTTAAGTGACAACACACTGAAAGAGTCTGCACACAAAGGTGACTCCAAGGTTTTTACACCCGGTCACAGGTGGGCTCGACCCAGACACCTTACGATCGCTGGATGACTAGCCTTGCGCCTTCGCCAGCTCGCCCACCATGCTCCCCACAAATATATAGGTTTAATTTGATTGTTTATTGTTTAACTCCGCACTCAGCAATGTTCCATGTAAAAAATGGATTTATATATATTTTAATGTTACACAACAAATATTTACCATTAACTGAATGAAATATGTATCGTAATGTGCACATCGCATTTCAGGTCTGTACAATTGCTAGTGGAACGGCTGGGTCTGCAGCCCCACCCTGAGGGCGGATTCTTCTCAGAGAACTGGCGCAGCGAGAGAAATGTCACGGTGTCCGAACCAGAGTAAGTGAGTGAGGGAGTTTGCTGTTTGTTTGTTGTTAACGTCACGCTCAATAATCCAGCTTTACGCGGGGGTTACATCCGAGGTCTCAAGGGATGGCTGCTAAGGGAGCTAACTATCATGTCCTACCTACCATCAAAGCCATTCGTCAACACTCAGCCCTTTGAGTAATGGTCTTGAAGCCCTGTTAAGGCGCAGCAGGTCATTTATAGTAATATTTTAACCGATAACGTTATGGTTTAATTCAATAACTCTGGTTTAGATTGGCCGATTTTCATCAAAATAGCAGTTTTGGAATGCTCAGATCATGTTTAAAAATTGTGCACAACAATGCATCATTTGTCGCCTCACCAACGTCTACGTCGACGATGAAGAATCGACGTCCGGCTTCTGAATGTCAGTGACAGAGCGGGTCTCCAAACGGGAACATTGGCCGCTCGGTCCCGATGTGCGTGCTGTCACGTGATTACCATTTTATGTACCATTTCGGCCATTATTCGCCAACCATAATAAAACATGGCTGCCGCTGTCTTCAACTCTACCGCTGACTTTTGTCTTCAGTCTCTTGTACACCATTTTGAACTACCATCCGAGAGCTTCCCCAACTCGTCTGCCACCGTCTATACCAACTTCTGTGCGTGTATGGAATAGCTGATAGTGATTATATGTAACTTGACAATTCTCTCTGTGAGGTACGACTTAAGTAGAGACCAGTTGATATTTGCGACATACAATGTGTTGTCTATAATAGCATTTGGAATGATCTAATACTATTGATTCCTTAACCATTCTCACAGGTATTCCTTAACCATTCTCACAGGTATTCCTTAACCATTCTCAAACGTATTCATTAACCATTCTCACAGGTATTCATTAAACATTCTCACAGGTTCACAAATATGTTGGACCCGTAAAAAATTCTAGGTCAAAATTTTGATCTTCAGCAACCCATGTTGTCGTAAGAGGGTACTAATGTGATCGGGCTTGTTACTTGTTTCATGCATGCCATCGTACCCCACTTGCAATGATCGACGCTCATAGTGTCATGGTAATTTCTGTGTGTATATCATTACATATTACTAAAACTGAGGCTTGCATATTGTTTTGAACGTTATAGTAGAAGCAAAATGTTTATAGAAATACTATCTAGGAATATCTTTTAGTATCATTTGTAGGCACTTAATGTTTTGTATTTAAAGCAATACGTTTCTGTCGTAATAGATCCTCATCAAATATTCCTCTGTGATAAAGTTGCAAATAAGTTTAGACTAAATCGTCCCCGTGGACCTTCTTCAGCTTCATATCTGTGCATGTACAGGAAGCTGTAGCTGTAGGAGGAACCGTTGAACCTGTTGTGTACTTCAGCATGTAGAGGTGAACCTGTTACATGTTCCCGTGATCTTGACATTGCTAACATTGACTAAAATGTCAACTCTGAATTTACTATGACTATACTTGCATTATGATGACATGACTGACTCATCCTTCTTTGACGAGCAGAGAAGGACATCAGGAATAATAGAATTATACATTTAAGTGCTTTCTGTTATGTTGTGTAATTTTCCAACTGGATCTTCGACATATTTGGAATCGTCGATACTATGTGAAGAATGGAGCTGTTACCGTTGAACAGACATTATATAATATTTTGCTGATCTAAATACAAAGTGCCAACCGTTTTCCTTGTAATGGTTTTTCATTTGTACAATGCCAACCAAACGTATATATGATCTTCAAATGATATACCTGAATTAAAAACACATAACTTAAACCATCCAGTTAAAATATAAAATCATCATCATCGTCATCGTCATCATCGATCATCATAATCCATCACCCATCACCATGCATCATCATCATAATCCATCATCATCCATCATAATAATCCATCATCATAATCCATCATCAACCATCATCATTATTCATCATCATCATAATCCACCATCATCCATCATCATCATAATCCATTATCAACCATCATCATCATAATCATCCACATAATCATTATTCATCATCATAATCCATCTTCATCCATCATCATCATAATCGTCATCATCCACCATAATCATAATCCATCATCATAATCCATCATCGTCACCATCATCGTTATAGTCCATCATCATCATAAACCATCATCGTCATCATCCATCATCATAATCCATCATCATCATCCACCCTCCTCTTCATCCTCCTCCTCCTCCTCCATCATCATCATCCTCATCGTTGTCGTCATCATCATCATCATCATCGTAAATATGTCCTCGAATTATTACTCGTGCAAGAATGGTTTCATCTTGTTTACCTGCTCCGCCTTCAGTTTCAGAGTGGTCCGGTCAGCGGGGACTAATATATACTACCTCCTTGAGGAGGATGACTTCAGTGCCTGGCATAGGCTGAAGGAAGAAGAGATCTTCTACTGGCATGCAGGAGGGAAAGCTCAGGTGAACATGACGATAAAATTCAATTTTTGAATTTAATCAAATATGTATATGTTAGAATCTGCTCTTTGACAGTGTTTGAGGGCCCGCGTTCTCTTATTCCAGAAAATAACCGGAAACCAAATACCACATGACAAAAATGATTTTGTTGTTGAAAAATATTTCATCATTGGTCTTCTAATCTCGGATATTCAATTCTATAGGCAGCTGAACTATGTTCTGTTGTAGGTCCATACCATCGACAAGAGCGGTACTCTGACCACGGTCTACCTGTGTGATGTCTTTCAAGATGATGACTGTGTATATGAAGCAATAATGCCAGACTCAACCTGGATGGCTGTCGAGCCAGTAAAAGGGTCCGGATTTGTACTTATCGGAGATGCTGCTTTTCCAGGTAAACCAGTTTGTTGGATGTCTGTCGCCACATTCCACAGTATTGCAGGTTTACGTTGCGGCCTGTAAAAAAATCGTTTGTGGACTAGATAGTACACTGATTTACCATGCAGATCGACCTGTGCAATTGTGATTTGATGACATGTGTCAACCAAGTCAGCGAGCCTGACCACCGGATCCCGTTAGTCGCCTCTTACGACAAGCATGGGTTGCTGAAGATCAGTTCTAACACGGATCTCCCTGTGCACAGAAAAACCAATAAACTAATAATGCCTAATTGTTATATTTATAGATTGATGGTAACAAAATGTTCCGAATGTGGACACTATCGGCTAGGTATAAATAAATATTTGGGAAAAGTAGCTTTGAATAAGGGTTATTTCCACCTCTTCTATATCAGTCATCCGTCCTTCGGTCGTGCATATAGTGTTCCTAATTAGTCATCATCAGTTAGTCCCCTTTATCAGTCACAATCACCAATTTCATCAATCATCAGTTGTTGATGCAGTGCCTTGTCCTTCAGGCTTGATTATTGCAATGCTCTCTATGTAAATGTTACAAATAAAGCCATAGCCAAGTTACAGAGAATTCAGAACTAAAGTCCTGTCGGAAATAGAAAAAAACTGGTTTTAGTCTGTTACTCTGTATCCCTAAAATTTACACAACTGCAAATATGTCGAAATAACCCACTTCGGCCTAACTGGGTGTTCAGTGGGATGCGTAATAGGATATCCGGAAAAGCATGTTTACTCGTAAAATCGGCAAAACTTAGAAACACCACGAATAGTCGCTGACAACAATAGATCAGACTATAGATGGCAATTAGGTCTCTCAGCCAGGTATGACGACGGACCGTCGACTCACCTGGCATAGTTTATGTTGAGATATGTAAAAGAGTATGATACCTGATAACCATAGAAACGCATCGTATTACATGTCTCAAAATATATAGGTGGCATGACCACCCAATCGCGAAGATCGACAGGACTGGATATTATTTGTAAATTGTTATGACATGCTGTGTACTTCCCCAGTATAATTGCCCTAAAGGATTATCGTATCTTAGCTGATATCTCTATCCCCCAGCCCGACCCCAACGATCGTCTGCGACACAGGTTTTGCTTTTGAGACGAACCCTCCTATCTGCTTCTTTTTATAGTGACAGTGACTGCATTGTAGCTACATCCTTAATAGTTAGAGCATGAAAGTTATTATTTTTTACGCCAGCTATCGATGAAGCTACGTCTAATTTCAAAATGGGCATTTAAAAAGTGTCCTTTGTAATACAATATGGTCGCACACTAATTTGCATAAAGCCATGGTCTGTTCCAAATAAATCGTTTTGGACTTAGAAAAAAACGCATTGCTCATTTCTGCACTAATCTCTCCTCAGTAAAGTCCTTTTTCTACGTTTCCTATGTCCCTACCACTGAGACTGTAGTTAGGCCGAACTTAGTTTAACATATATATTTCACACTTGCACATATCAACTACATAAATTGTAGAGATAAATGAGAAAATACAGTTTTTTTCTATTTCCGACAGTACTTTAGCTGGATGCATCGCAAATATTCCTAGAACTGAACACATCACTCCTTCCCTCGAAACCATGCACTCATAGTCTGGTTTCCCATCTCCTCTCGAATTATCGTCAAGATTTGTATTATTATCCACGACTGCCTCAAGAATGGTCACTATCCTTCATACCTTAAGGACTTGATCTCCCTGTATTCTCCTAAACGTGCACTTCGATCTGCCAATGGGGCTCTACTTAATCAGCCTGTCTACTTCTACGATGTCTGACCCTGCCTTCACAGTTTGCAGTCCCCAGTTAAGGAACTTTGTGACATGTGAACTAAGAAACACCAAATCCAAAGACCTTTTCAAGTTTCTCCTCCAAACCCACCTCATACACTCAGCATTCCACTAAACTTTCAGGATTGTGTGATTATATGTGCATGAATTTGGTTTTACCTTTGTCATAGCACCATCGAGCACCTGTCAATGGATACTAGGAGCTTTACAAATCAATTGTTATTGTTATAATTATTATTAATCACCATCTAATATATTTTCTAGGGTTTGACTTCAGGGACTGGGAACTGGGCCGAGCGAGTGACTTGATACGGGACTTCCCTGCACATCGTAATATCATCAAGCGGCTTACCAGGCAGGAATAAGACCACCCATAGATTATGTCTGACACTAACTAAAAAGTAAAACCCGGTAATTGATTGGTTGATTTTTAAGAGATAGACGAGGCCAACGCCTTCATCATTCCATAATAGAGTCCAATACTAGATTTGGTGATACAGTTTAGACGTAATGCTACGGCTGTTAACATATTGCTACATTTGGTGACACATGTACAGTTTGTTACTTAATGCTACATGTACATCTCGTAATAAAGTTGAGTCCAAATGCTACATTTGGTGACGCAGTTTAAATTCAATGCTACATCTTTTAAAACGTTTAGACCAAATACTACATTTGGTGACACAGTTTAGTCCAAATGCTACATTTGGTGACACAGTTTAGTCCAAATGCTACATTTGGTGACCCAGTTTAGTCCAAATGCTACATTTGGTGACACAGTTTAGTCCAAATGCTACATTTGGTAACACAGTTTAAATTCAATGCTACATCTTTTAAAACGTTTAGTCCAAATGCTTCATCTGCTGACACATTTTTAATCCAAATGCTTCATCTGATGACACAGTTTAGTCCAAATGCTTCATCTGATGACACAGTTTAGTCCAAATGCTTCATCTGTTGACACAGTTTAGTTCAAATGCTTCATCTGATGACACAGTTTAGTCCAAATGCTTCATCTGTTGACACAGTTTAGTCCAAATGCTGCATCTGGTGACACAGTTTAGTCCAAATGCTTCATCTGGTGACACAGTTTAGTCCAAATGCTACATCTGGTGACACAGTTTAGTCCAAATGCTTCATCTGGTGACACAGTTTAGTCCAAATGCTACATCTGTTGACACAGTTTAGTCCAAATGCTTCATCTGATGACACAGTTTAGTCCAAATGCTTCATCTGTTGACACAGTTTAGTCCAAATGCTTCATCTGGTGACACAGTTTTAGTCCAAATGCTTCATCTTGACACAGTTTAGTCCAAATGCTTCATCTGGTGACACAGTTTAGTCCAAATGCTACATCTGGTGACACAGTTTAGTCCAAATGCTTCATCTGGTGACACAGACACAGTTTAGTCCAAATGCTACATCTGTTGACACAGTTTAGTCCAAATGCTTCATCTGTTGACACAGTTTAGTCCAAATGCTACATCTGGTGACACAGTTTAGTCCAAATGCTACATCTGGTGACACAGTTTAGTCCAAATGCTGCATCTGATGACACAGTTTCAAAGTCATCAAATGCTTCATCTGCATCTGACACAGTTTAGTCCAAATGCTACATCTGTTGACACATTTTAGTCCAAATGCGACATCTGACGACACAGTTTAGTCCAAATGCTGCATCTGTTGACACAGTTTAGTCCAAATTCGAGTCTGACCAGACAATTCAGTGATCAACAACATGAGCATCGATCTGCGCAATTGGGAACCAATGACATGTGTCAACCAAGTCAGTGAGCCTGACCACCCGATCCCGTTAGTCGCCTCTTACGACAAGCACGGGTTACTGAAGATCAATATTCTAACCCGGACCTTCACGGGTTAACCTGTTTAATGAGAGTTTAATGAGAGATCTCTGTGAAAATATGGCCACTCCCTCTCTCACTCCCATTTACATAAAATTATTGTAAATTATTCACCTCACCTCACCTCACCTCACCTCACAAGGATATCCAATGAGTGACATCATGAGCGTGGATCTAGGCAATTGGGATTCAGCCTTTGTTTCGCTCTTGTTAAATCCATGAGGACGCGTGTGATTTTGACAAACCCACATTGTATTTCAAATGTTTAAGCAGATGAATAGAAATTCTCTTTCGTAACATCAACGCATGTTTAAATGTACTGTACATGAAGGAAAATATGGAAAAAAGTACTGTCGACGTCCTCGGAAAAATAAACCTTAACACGTCACGCTTAATCTTTAGAAACATCAAAACATGCGTATTCTTAACGACGGAACTGTAACCACGGGACTGGTTTTTGCTTTGTCAAGTTTGTGTTTGAAATCTCATTCGCATGATTTATCTACACTGGCCCGAATGGCGAAACCTCAAAGGAGTATCGTTTCAGGTAAAAAGGCCCTTTAGAAGTTAAAACTGTAAAAGTTATTAAAAATTCTGAAAAATTCACTTGACACGTCAAAAAGGCCTCATTATACCATAGCCACCACGCACACAACACGCAGACGCTGCAATATTACAGCTCCGGTTATGGCGGCGGACCTAGGAACATTATACCTTTCCATAATCGAGTCTCGGACCGGAAGACAATCCAGGAATCAACAGCATGAACATCGATCTACGCAAATGAGAACCGATGACATGTGTCAACCCAGCTGCACTCAGAGCCTGACCACCAGATCCTGTTAGTCGCCTCCCACGACAAGCATGGGTTACTGAAGATCAATTCTAGCCCGGACCTTCACGGGTGGGTCACAAATGACCTAGGGACACCACATGCCTTTACTCCCACTAACATATTCTCTCGAGTCACAGGAATAATAATATTGTACATTTTTTACGCATAATCTTGACTTGATACGTGATTAATGGTGGTCCGATTACTTGAAATAATCGAAGATTGGTCGTAGTGACTAAACGACCAAGCAATCGATCATAATTTCTCATAATAGAACACAAAACCAATTTTCGAACACTTGTTTTCATTAACAATATTTTTCACATGGTTGGTTTTTGTTACATTTTGTAAGCACTACAAGCTCGTTTCAAGTCACGATTGAATTTATCTTAAAGGCTCCAAGAAATTTATGTTCCAAACATACTAGTCATCCTTTACAGATGTGAAATTTTGCCAAAAAGCCCCAGAACTACATGTTTTTTTCCTTATTTTTATGTGCATTAACAAATTTCATAAATGACGCTAACCAATTATTTTCGATGATTGATCGGTTGTAATGAACCAATCATCAATTATGAGATTTTAACCAATTCCCAACACTATACGTGATGGAATAATATTTTTATATAGGAATTTCGAACTTCGAATATCGCGAACTGCTTTAAGAGTTCCTTAAAGTTTGTTGTTTCCAAAGTTGACTGTAGTACATTCATTGTCAACAAGGCTTCTGTTCACTGTTATGCAAAACAGTTCCAAACTAACAAAACGAGAGGTAATATATGATTCCGTGAGCCGAAGGCCACTAGATGACGTCATATCCTGCATGCCAACGTGGCGTTCGGACAATCGGGGACAATCACAGGAACGGAGCGCAGTCACAAACCTCATGCCCCTCGCACTGCCGTCTTCAGTAACTTCCTGCAACATTTTGTCACCTAGGTCTCCTTGCAAACATGGATGCTTCCTTACTTCCGTGACAACATCCGGGCACTCTGGTAGACATTCGCCATGTTTGAAGTCACAGTGTTTCAGTATCTGTGGACAAAACGAGATAGTAAGTGAATAGGTTAGCACTCAGTTTTGAATGGTATTTACCTTATTTCAAATGTTCCTGAGAGGCGTGTTGAAACAAGTGATCGACATCATGAACATCGATCTTTGCAATTGGGATACGATGACATGTGTCAACCAAGTCAGCGAACCTGACCACCCAATCCCGTTAGTCGCCTCTTAGGACAAGCATGCGTTACTGAAGATCAATTCTAACCCGGATCTTCACGGGTCTTCACGGGATAGCAGAGACACTGCAATATCACTACGCCACTGGTCCCCGAGGAAATGAGAAAAGCCCACACGTTTTCTGAGAGCCCGGTTTCAATTTGTGGATGAAATACAAAAAAAAGTATAATTATTTTTTATAAATATACGTCTGTACATAAGCGGTCATAAGCATAAATAACCTTGTGGAAAATCTTCTGTGTTGCTGGATGTGTTAGATTCTTGAAACTTTGAACATGACAGCCACGGTAAAATCCGTCGTCGTCCACCATGCAAGAGTTGTAGTCGCCCCAGCCGTCGCAGTAGATGTTAGAGACGGCAGATTTTGGATAGAACATTAGCAAGGAGTAACACATTTCGTCATTCGTCCCCTCGCCCCAAACCGTCGTGACCCGACGGGAGAGGGTGCGATACACGCAGGTGGTCTTGAAGACGTCCCCCGGTCGAACCTCCAGAGGAGGATCAAAACTACAACAGACACAAAATTATTGAATAGTTATATACCTAGACGCCATAGTATTCTGTCCATCCAATCTTATGCTTGTCTACATTCATCACTTGCACAGAGGAAAATGTTTCGACATGTTGTTAGAATTTGAGGGGCAGCGCTTTCGGGACTGTCGCCATCTCATGCGTGACCCACTCGTGTTATTCCGGGACAAGGTCTTCAGTAACCCATGCTGGTCGTAAGAGGTGACTGACGGGATGGGGTAGTCAGACTCGCTGACGTGGTTGACACATGTCATCGTTCCCCAATTGTGTAGATCGATGTTCGGGATGTCAATCACTGGATTGTCTGGTCCAGATTCGATTATTTACAGACCGCCACCATATTGCTGGAATATTGCTGAGTGCGGCGTTAAACAACAACGAAAGAAAGATGATCTGCGCTGAACCTGTGGACTGTGAATGTTTAAGGCAGGCGCATTGTCTCGTTTGGCGAACTCTCGTTATGACGCCTAAAATTGTCATTTTGATGCAAGTCTTTCTTTTCAAAAAGTAGTATTTATCACTGTTTTGTTCACGGTTTCCTACAGATCATGGACTCACGTGTTAATTACGGGGTTGTCGTAGGTGTAGTAGGCTTCATTTGTCAGGTACTGTAATCTCTTCCCCTCCCGCAGGTGTTCAACGCTCTCAGAGATTCCTGAAATTTGTTATATTGTTATAGGATATTTATATAGCGCACATATCCAGGCAACTAGTGCATGATCAAGGCGCTGGTATTTTTTCCCTCGATCATTGGATGTCAATCTCAACGGCCCATCGCATTATCAATCTCAACTCCCTGGGAGTATACAACTCTTGCAGCCACTAGGCGCACCGAGTTATTGTGGCTTTCTCATCCTAACGAGGTACCCATTCACAGCTGGGTGGACTGGGACACATAGTCACAGTACTTTGTCCATGTTCACTGCACGTTGCTGTACCCGCAACTAGGTGTTTGCACGTATTCATGAGGCCACCATCTGGTCAAATACCAACGGATTCGTGGTTCTTTTAAGTGCACAGGGTTGTGTACTGTACACTAGGGGTTGTGACAACACTGAAAGAGTCTGCACACAAAGTTGACTACGAGGTTTTTACACCTGGTCACAGGTGGGCTCGATATCCCGACACCTCGACCTCGCTGGATCACTAGCCTGGCGCCTTAGCCAGCTCGCCCACCGCGTGAGTATAGAGTCAATCATGCCCTGACGATGCAAGATGTGAGTATAGAGTCAATTATGCCCTGACAGTGGACCATGTGAGTTTAGAGTCAATTATGACCTGATATAATTGGAAACAACACGCGCATCGGTACATATTTCCTGAGGGGCGGCGTGGTAGCCTTGTGGGTAACCCTCTCCTTCACCTAGTGCCTTTCAGGGATAAATGAAAGACTCACTGAAGGTGTGTCCTTCTACAAGAACATGCGTCTGTCGTTTCCATGACTACATTACAGGACTGGCTTTGAACTCAGTAGACATCTTCCTATTTCACAATAAAAAATAGGACTTCGGGGTAGCCGCCCCACACATGGGTAAATATGTGGAGCCCATTCCTGGGGCCGGATTCACAAAATTTCTTAGAATTTTCTTAAGCCTTAAGAATTCTTAAGTCTGGTAAGAATTCTTAGTTTCCAAGAAACTTAAGCATAGAAACTAAGAAAATTCTTAGAAGTTTAGTGAATCCGGTCCCTGGTGTTCACGCGGTAATATTACTGGAATATTGCTAAAAGTGGCGTAAAACGTAACTCACTCACTCACTTACTATAACGGCCTTGCGTGATACTTGCATATTGTCGGCAAATTTCATCAAAGTACATGTTATAGTTGCTTGCTAAAATATAGTACCTAAATGCAAGATAATATGTTGTATTTGATAATTCTGATCAATGTAGGGAATCGACCCCGGAATTTGGAGTGACGATGGAACGCTTTAACCACTATGCTACCCAACCGCCCCTCAGGATAAACAAACCTAATGATGCGTACGTAGTGATGTGGACAGTTGTTACCAACAGTGTCCCAGGGATAGGGATAGAGAGAACGTGTCTACAAAACTCCTTGCTTGTCATAGCAGGTGAGGGTGGGTGGCGTAGCCAGGTGGTTAAAGAGTTCGCTCGTCACGCCGAATACCCGGGTTCGAACCCCCACATGGGTGCAGTATGTGAAGTCCATTTCTGGAGTCCCCTGACGTGGTATTGCCGGCTGGAATATTGCTAAAAGCGGCGTAAAACTAAACTCAATCAATCATAGTAGGTGACTAAGATAATTAGATGTGTAAATCATCATATCGTCAATCATTTGCTTTTCTGCTCCAGATTCAACGCTCTCAGAGATTCCTGAAATTTGTTATATTGTTATAGGATATTTATATAGCGCACATATCCAGGCAACTAGTGCATGCTCAAGGCGCTGGTATTTTTTCCTCGATCATTGGATGTCAATCTCAACGGCACATCGCATTATCAATCTCAACTCCCTGGGGAGTATACAACTCTTTGCAGCCACTAGGCGCACCGAGTTATTGTGGCTTTCATCCTAACGAGGTACCCATTCACAGCTGGGTGGACTGGGACACATAGTCACAGTACTTTGTCCATGTTCACTGCACGTTGCTGTACCCGCAACTAGGTGTTTGCACGTATTCATGAGGCCACCATCTGGTCATATACCAACGGATTCGTGGGTTCTTAAGCGCACAGGGTTGTGTACTGTACACTAGGGTTGTGACAACACTGAAAAGAGTCTGCACACAAAGTTGACTCCACGAGGTTTTTACACCTGGTCACAGGTGGGCTTTGATATCCCGACACCTCGTGAGTATAGAGTGGATTATGCCCTGACGATGCAAGATGTGAGTATACAGTCAATTATGACCTGACAGTGGACCATGTGAGTTTAGAGTCAATTATGACCTGAGAAACTTAAGCATAGAAACTAAGAAAATTCTGTAGAAGTTTAGTGAATCCGGTCCCTGGTGTCCACGCGGTAATATTACTGGAATATTGCTAAAAGGGGCGTAAAACGTAACTCACTCACTCACTTACTATAACGGCCTTGCGTGACACTCGCATATTGTCGGCAAATTTCATCAAAGTACATGTCATAGTTGCTTGCGAAAATATAGTACCTAAATGCAAGATAATATGTTGTATTTGATAATGCTGATCAACGTAGGGAATTGAACCCGGAATTTGGAGTGCCGATGGAACGCTTTAACCACTATGCTACCCAACCGCCCCTCAGGATAAACAAACCTAATGATGCGCACGTAGTGATGTGGACAGTTGTTACCAACAGTGTCCCAGGGATAGGGATAGAGAGAATGTGTCTACAAAACTCCTCGCCACCACAATTATACGCCTATTTAACAAATATTTCACCAAAAATAGGCTTTACCCACATGGGAAATCGAACACGGGCGAGCGAACGTTTTAACCAGGACACTACCCAACATGATTGGGTTTAAACCTTTGAAACCATGTTGGAAGTCGAACCGGCGTAACAAGCTAACACTTCACTAACTAAGCTAACCGCAAAACCTAAGGGATGGTGGGATAGCCTTGTGGTTAAAGCGTTCGCTCATCAGGATGAAAACCCCGGTTCGATTCCCGTCATGGATACAATGTGTGTGTATCCCCGTCGTGGAATATTGCTAAAGCGGAGTAAAACTAAACTCACTCACTCACTCACTCATTGATACATACCCATGTAATGCATATGGTTGAGAGAGTTAGTGATGTATATAGGCCTGGAAAAACGGCGTTTTGTACACTCAGACGGGCAAGTTGACTGAACAACTATTTTCGACTGCCCTGGTGGTAACATCAGACGTTCCTGACCCGTCCACAGAATTCCTGCATCGTATTGGCGTAGTCGTGGTGTGTAGAAGATCTTTAACCCCGACGCGTCGTGGTAGTCGTCGCGCATCTCGGGTTGTTCCAGTGCAGCTAAAACATATGAAGGTGATAATGTTAGATAATAAAAAGTACAAGATATTAGTGAGTGAGTGAGTTTAGTTTTACGCCGCAGTCAGCAATATGGCGACGGTCTGTAAATAATCGAGTTTGGACCAGACAATCCAGTGATCAACATCATGAGCATCGATCTACGCAATTGGGATGCGATGACATGTGTCAAGCAAGTCAGCGAGCCTTACCACCCGATCCTGTACAGAATATTAGATACATCACGTTGTATTTAACGTCGGCTATTTTGTGCAATAACACAACACTGCCACTTAGAAAAATGTAAGCGCTATTATTCCGACTAACAGACTGAGAGAAAAACACAGGCAGGTGACATGATATAGGTGAAACCTGAAGTTCTCAGAAGTTTTTGGTGACGAGTGTCTGTGAGATAGTAGTAAAAAATGTAAAAATAATTCACTCGTATTGGCTGATTGCACCTTCGACACCTAACGGGTTCGAGATGGATACAGTTAGAATAATATCATCGATATTCGTATGGACGCATCAGGGGTAAATGTCGCATTGATCATACATGGATACCTTGAATAAACATATGATTATCACCATAAAATTTCTAAAACGATCGAAGAGTATGTAAATATACATTCGTATCGACCTTGGTCGGTGGGGTAGCCGAGTGGTTAAAGCGTTCGTTCGTCACGTCGAAGACTCGGTTTCGATTCCCCATATGGGTACAGTGTGTGAAGCCCATTTCTGGTGTCCCCTTTCGTGATATTGTTGGGATATTGCTAACAGCGGCTTAAAACCCAACTCACCTCCAGTAGCACCTTCTTGTAGCCGGAAGTACCGAGCCTGAAACCAGCCTCCTTGTACAGGCACTGACCAGCCAGGCCCACTGTCCACAAACCAATGACGTCATTGCAACCCCGCTCCGCCATATAGCATTGGCGAGGATGGTGGATCTTAGGCACTGAGTTGAAATGACAAATACTTTATTTTTGTTAAAAAAAAAAAAGAACACACATAAACGAATTCCTGTAAAATATCTTATCTGGTTCAGACAATCCCATATCATAAGCAACGTCCCACATCCTCGGGGTACAAGGGGTTATTTTATTGAAATATAAAACGTCAATGCTAGAGAATGCTAGACACGACAAATCCCAATGCTCGTAAAAGCGATAAAGAATTACTGAAAATAATTGACACCAGATGTTAGCGATAGAAACGTTTGACAGTGACGACAGCGTAACAAGGATCAAGAAGAATACATACTATCACAGTAGACTACGTTTATAACGAATACGGTTATAACGAACTGACGGATATAACAAACTGACTTCTGGTCCCGGCCACTTGCCTTACATTTCAGTCGATATGCGTTACATTTCAGTCGATATGCGTAGGGACGAGCTAAATTTTACGATCCCATTGAGTTCGTTAATATATTAAGCGCATATGGAAGCGCTGTTAAATCTTGAGGACCTGATGAGTGTGCAAGTTTATCTTGAGCGCACAAGTTAGTATCTTGAGCGCTCAACTTCGTGTTTAACACCTAAAGGCATTAATGGAACGCACGTTTCCTTGACTGGTGGCTAAAATGTACAAACTTATATCCTTTTTGGAAGATTTCAAACGATGCAAAGTCGGTGTTTATGATGAGACTATGCAAAAGTATGCAAATGTATCATGAATATTGATAATGTTTATGTAAATGTTCATCGTCTATATTCTTGTCAATACTATTCTTTGTAACTGATTTTACTACTTTTTTGCTTTATTACATAAAGCAGGCCCAGGTATGTGTAATGTAATGATAAGAATTAAAACATAAACATGAGTAGGAGTTTATTGCAGGGATGAATAGTGGTTTTACTGCCTTCTAATATTGGTACAAAGTATTATGAACACTATAGCGTAAAGCTTGGATACGGCTTTATTATGTACATGTATATATAGTATTACATGACCATGAAACATGTAAAACTCATGTCTGATGTACTGAGTTTAATTCTGTACAATAGGTGTCGTGCCGGGAAGGCTTAAATTTATTTTTCAGATGTCCCGGGAAGGCTAAAATGTATATTTCGGATTTCCTGGGAGAGCTAATTTCCAAGGGAGTAGGGGAGTACCGCCAAAGCTAAAGATACGGAGCCGGAAAGCATAATCCATGTCGGGAGTAGAGAGATTTCTTTCCAAAACATTGTTATAGTAGAGTGTTTATCTTCTTCGCTTGTTTAGAACTTGAAGATGAAAGTAATTACAGGGGAATCACCATAAACAGTTGCTTTTCAAAACTCTTTACTTCGGTATTAACAGCGAGACTTGTCTCATGGTGTGAAATATACAACATCATCTCTGATGCTCACTATGCTTTCAAATCTGGTGGGCATCAGAGGTAGACTATGTAAATTTATCGTGTCTAATATGACACTGTGAAATCATGTGTTAAACACAATGGTGAGTTATCTGGCTTCTGTCTATGCTCCCTGGGTATTAAACAAGGGGGTGTAATGTTACCGATTCTTTTCTCCCTATATCTTGAAGATATTGAAGTAGCACTACAGAAAAGTATCGACGCGGGATTGCTGCTTGACTATATTAACCATTTTATACTACTATTTACGGACGATATGGTGCGCATATCCGAATCACCTGGAGGTTTACAGCTATCACTTTATACGCTTTCCAATTATTGCACAGACTGAAGCCTTAACGTTAATGTAGACAAAAGAAAAAAAAAGAAGGTTTTTCGTAAAGGAGGGAAGATTCGACCGGAGGAAATATAGTGTTGTCTTACACAGGCTCCTTTACACCAGCTTATAGAACTTTAGCAGACAAAGGTCGTAGAGCTATGAATGCTTTTCAGTTGTTAAAACTTTTCATTGAAAACCTTGTGTAACTATTCGACACTTTTGTTACCTCTACTATGATGTATGGTGAAGTATGGGGTATTGTGAAATGTTCTGAATTTGGAATAATTCACAATTTCGTAGGCGTATTTTGCAGATCAGTGCCAAATCATCTACAGTTGCTGTATACGGCGAACTTGGGAGGTACCCTTTATATATAAAAAGGTATATCCGTGTGTTACGTTATTGGTTTAAGTTATTACACAGTGAAGCGTCACGATTTTAGTCTTCCCGGCCACGAACCGTACAATATCATATAACACTTCCTATTTATTTGATCCATTAGTATGTGCACGTATAGCACATATACCGACTTTATTTCTTACTAAAATACCATGTTCCCCGTTTTACTTCCTCCGTTTCAATCCCTTATGTATACGTATGTGTGTTGTAGTTTAATTAACATGTTTTAACAACAGAGGAAGTTGAAGAATAAACACGTCGATGAAGACGGTGTCTTGAGCGAAATTCAACGCCATCCGTGTCCAACACTATTAGCAACGAACGTACACTATCCTGTTTCACGATTAAACCGCATTGGATACATTTTTTTATGCATCCAACGAAAACCATGTCTTTGTCCAGATCGTCGAAGTTGTCCGCAATAAAGTCTGTAACATCAGCGGGCGCTCAATATATTCCCCTCGTGGTTAAAGCGTCCGCTTGTCACGCAACAGATTGGGTTCGATTCCCCATATGGGTACAATGTGTGAAGTCCATTTCTGGTGTCCCTCTCCGTGATATTGCTGGAATATTGCTGAAAGCGGCGTAAACCGTACTCGCTCAATATATTCACTCATTCACTCAACATCACAATCTGGTATCAAACATCGAAAAGGGACATACATCTCAGAATACGCTTCAACTTGTGCGCTCAAGATACCATGATTTTGCAAGAAGATGTGTTACTTGTTTTGGCGCTGAAAGATGTTAACTCGCGTGTGCTCCTCAACATACTAACTTGTGCGCTCAACATACTAACTTGTGCGCTCAACATACTAACTTATGCGCTCAATATATTAACTTGTGCACTCAACATACTAACTCGTGCGCTCAAACATACTAACTTGTGCGCTCAAGATGTTAACTTGTGCGCTCAAACATACTAACTTGTGCTCTCAACATACTTACTAGTGCGCTCAAGATGTTAACTTGTGCGCTCAACATACTAACTCGTGCGCTCAACATACTAACTTGTGCGCTCAAGATGTTAACTTGTGCGCTCAACATACTAACTCGTGCGCTCAACATACTAACTTGTGCGCTCAACATACTAACTTGTGCGCTCAATATATTAACTTGTGCACTCAACATACTAACTCGTGCGCTCAAGATCAATTTTATTTCATCAGGTCCCTTCAGTGCTTCCGTAGTTATAACCGTAGTGTACATACATTTTGTTTTATTTGTATATTTTACAACAGATAAACAGACAAGCGCAGTTCCTCTCTCCCACACTGACATACATTCCGGGCATATCCCGACGCGGCAAGGTCACAACGATTAACTGTTATGTGACATTTACTGTCAGGCCACCTACCCTCATCCCTACAGCCCATCAGTCGGATGTGGTGCATCACATGGATGTTGTCGATTACAGGCTCAGTCGCTATGAGATGATAATCTCGGTCAGCCGGTAGGTCAAAGGTCTGGCAGAAATAGTTCGTCTCCGTACTGGGAACCTTCATTCGAGGGAATCTTAATGTTCTCATTTGAACTTCTGCAATCGATCAAATTTGAAAATACAGCAAAACATGCTTAATCAGAATGATTAATATACAGGGCAAAAGATTTTTCATTTTCATAAAAATATCTTTTCATTCAAGTTCAAAGTCTCTTGTTTTATTATGGAAATATAATTGCCAAATGAAAACAGCGGAAAAAGTGTCACTATAATCTCTGCTGTACGAGCATCACTCTACCGTAAACATTTCTTTATGAGCGAGTGAGTGAGTGAGTTCAGTTTTATGCCACGCTCAGCAATATTCCAGCTATATGGCGGCGGTCTGTAAATAATCGAGTCTGGACTAGACAATCCAGTGATCAACATCATGAGCATCGATCTACGCAATTGGGATACAATGACATGTGTCAACCAAGTCAGCGAGCCTGACCACCCTTTCCTGTTAGTCGCCTCTAACGACAAGCATGGGTTACTGAAGATCAATATTCTAACCCGGATCTTCACGGGTTCTTATGTTTATGAATCACTGTCAAGCACAATTGACACCAGGTGTTCCCGAGAAAGTGAATGTGGCGTCCGTCACAAACACATAAAAAAACAAGACAACTATTCACCTGAACAAATCTCAAAATAGAAAATTGCATAAAACATCAAATTTCGCTAACTTTGGAAATATCCTTATATCTAAATTTATATATATACTGTAATATTTACTATAAAACATTTTAAAAGTTTTACCGGCTTTGAACTTTGTAGTCCTGATCAGACGGGTTTGCGGCAGGAGTGGTATGACCTCGTAAACTGGCGGGCATTAACACATTTCCGTACTAGTAAAATCCAGTTAATATCCCTAAGGACCGCCACTACAGGGTTAAAGTACTGACTGACTGAGTTTGGTTTTACGCCGCTTTTAGCAATATTCCAGCATCATCACGGCGGGGGACACCAGAAATGGGCTTCACACAATGTACCCATGTGGGGATTCGAACCCGGATCTTCGGCGTGACGAGCCAACGCTTTAACCATTAGGCTACCCCACCGCCCCCCCAGGGTTAAAGTACATGCGACAGTAATTTTAATCCGATATTACAATGTCTCTCGGAAAAAAGCACAATTGAGGAAGAAGAAAATATGATTAATGAGGTCAAGTTTAGTTAGAGGTGCTTTTACTTTCGTGTGAATGCGTGTGCGTGCGTGCGTGCGTGTATGTGAATGCGGTTCACTATTTTCTATTCACCTGGCTCTGAAGTTGCACTGCAGTTGAATTCCTCAGTCTCACACGACACCCAGCCATTGTCTGCACTACATTCTTGGCCTCCCCAAGGATCGCATATTCCTGGGCGAAAACTAACCTTTGTTCATGTCGTGACAATGCGGTTTCGGATCATGAGAGTAATTTCGGTGAATAACAAGTTACTTTCCTCGAGTGTAAACAAAAGCCCTTAATTGTTTACTCATTTTATTATCATTTCTCATCACAGACTTTTCTAAGGGATGATATGACATATACACAGCTCTGAAATTTCCTTTATATGTTTAAGCAACAGTCGCGTCTGGAATTAGATCAGTAAAATGTGTCTTGCTAATCTTTGTTTTGCTTTGACTCACTGACATGTCAACAGACATGTTTAATTTCAACATATAAAATATTTTTTTCCAAAAGCACCTACATTCTTTGAACAAAAATAATCACGTGTATGGATACATCTGATTTTTGTTATTCCATCATTTGCGAGTTACAACTGAAGTTGATCAATAAAATATGCAAAGAGTTCGTAATGATTAGTAAGGGGTGTTCGAAAATTACATTTGTCAATATCCTATCTATGATCCATACAAAGTATCATTTTCCCCACGTTTCATAAATATTACGAAAAAACTTGCAGAAGACAACCTGGGTGTGTTATCCCGGAAGTGACGTCGGGTATGTCTCCTTCCTTCCACACACATCCGGGATCTCCGAGTTCCTCGCCGTTTGTCCTTCCGTCATCATCGGAATCCATCTCACAGAAGGCTCGAGTCCACTGACAGGAAGAAGGTAGACGTTTAATGGTCACACTCCAATTATCTCGTACAAAATTGATGTAGATGTCGGTTGACTTAAATAACGATACACTCGTATATAATCTCAAAAATAGCGTTCTCGTTAATAACAATGAAGGGTACGCGGGTGAAAGGTCTTTTTCCATGCGATGGAAAATGAAAAAGAATAACAACTTACTCTTTGACCGGCAGCTAAAATGTCTAAACTAAACTGACAAAAGCGATACAGTTGTTCATAAACGCAAAAATGGCGTTTTCTTTAATGACAATGCAGAGCAAGCAAGTTGAAAGTCTGGCTCCAGGCGGTGAAAAATGAAATTGCAACTTACTCTCTGACCGGCAGCAAAAAAGTCCAAACCAAACTGATTTCTCTGCCCCGTTCCCTTGGGATTCCTGTGTCCCACCCCTGGCCATGTGTGGTGGAGTTTACAGGGATGGGGTACCTGGTCAGCATTTGGCAGCCTCTTCATGAACATCTGATAGGCCAGCGTCAAGCTGGCGTTCATTACCACCAGCATCAGAAACCTGAAGTGAGGGAGTAAGTGAGTTGGGTTTTACGCCGCTTTTAGCAATATTCCAGCAGTATCACTGTGGGGGACATCAGAAATGGGCTTCTCCCATTTTACTCATGTGGGGAATCGAACCCGAGTCTTCGGCGTGACGAGCGAACGCTTTCACCACTAGGCTACCCCACCGCCCTAGGAACCTGAAGAGTATGTTGCAGATCATTTGCATTGTTTGTTTCTTTTTGCGTTTAACGTCGCAATATTCCAGCTATATGGAGGCGGTGTGGACAAGGCAGTCCAGTGATCAACAGCATGAGCATCGATCAACGCAGATGGAATGCGATGACATGTGTCAGCCAAGTCAGCGAGCCTGACCATCCGATCCTGTATGTGCCCTCTTAAGACAAGTATGGGTTGCTGAAGATAAATTCTAACTCTGATTTAATTAATAACGTAATTAAACCCTGATAAATTTTAAGATTCTGTTGTGCAACAGATTAATGGAGCTTCTAATAACATTATTAGCCCAGCGGATAAGTGATCAAATTGTGCACTCTGTGTTACAAGCATGAAATTTGGCATGATTGTAGCTTATACCCTTCTTATTAAATAAAGATCGAGAGGCCTCGCAGATTTTATATATTTTTCATAATTTGAAAATGGACCGAGTCTGCGAGGCTTTTGGTATTGAATTTGCAAAGAAATGATTAAAACATGTTAGATCACGGGGTGATCTCATACTTATTTTACTGATGCAGTCTATATGGCGGCCATTTTGAAAAATGGCCGGCAATTTTGAAAAATGGCCGGCAATTTTCCAATTTTCGGGTAATCATGATATATATTGACTTCCGTAGACCTAACAGTTAAAGATAAGAAAGCATGTATAGATGAAAATGATCAGCTATGAATTTCCTACAATTTGATATATGACTTATGAGAATTGGAGAATTTTAAAAGAAGATATGATGAAAATAGTAGAAAAAATGATTTATTTTTTTCACTCCCAATTAAATAAAAAATTATTATGAAAAGTATAAAAAAATCTGCGAGGCCTCTCGATCTTTATTTAATAAGAAGGGTATAAGCTACAATCATGCCAAATTTCATGCTTGTAACACAAAGTGCACAATTCAGTAAAAAAACTACACTTATCCGCTGGGCTATATTATTTTTTCTACAGTAAACTAAATTTCGATTCAGAATCTGAAGAAACTTACGCGAATGTTAAAGAGAGGTGTACGACAAGGATGTCTTTTGCGACCACGAAAAAAGTAAACATGAATAAATTCCAGAAAAACCTGTTAGTATATTTATGAATGTGACCAAAATTATCTTTATACTCTCATGTAACGTGAGCGATTCAGTGGCCTGGGGTATGTGTGTGGTTAAAGCACTCGCTCGTCACGCCGAAGACCCGGGTTCGATTCCACACATTGACAAAATGTGTGAAGCCCACTTTGGGTGCCCCCTGCAGTTCGATCCCCTACATGGGTACAATGTGTGAAGCCAACAATTAGTGTCGTCCACCGTGATATTGCTGGAATATACTTCTTAGAAATATTCTGTGGCGATAAATCGTTTTCGTTTGCCATTTCAATTTTATTACTCTACCTTTCCACTATGCTTAGAGAAAAACAACAGGAAGTAACAGTACCTTAAGTGAGCCATCATGCATGAATTCCTGTCAGAAGACGGCTGCTGTGAAACCTATACTAGCAGACCACCTGGCAGTGGGGCAGTGCATCTGGTAGGGGACAGGAGGATGTTAGCGACCTAGTTATGGTTGATTTTGAGAATGGTGGCTGACCTTTAGAGACAAGTGGGGTTCCACAGCTGACGATGATACACCGCAATTACTGTCTACTGACTCGCTAAATGTTTTCAGAACAGAACAGAACAGAACATAATTTTATTCTCGTATATCATACAGAATGATATAGAGAACATACAATCGTTTATAATACAACAACAAGTGGAAATATTGGTTTAGAAATGACTATGAACAGTTTTAGCAAACAGTGATAGTTTCAATAGGAGTGGGGTATAATCTGATTTCATAAATGAGATGGATTTGTCCATACGTGGATTATTTCAAAAATGAGAGGGAAGTGGCTTATTACGTTCAACGTGTTTTCAACGAGGCCATTTTGTATCATTCGAGACCAGCTCGTGTTATTCCGGGACAAGCCGAATACGTCTTGGAGCTTACGGAAAGAGGCGAGTGGTGACGATTGATTTTGTATCATTGGCGGTGATATCAACTGCTCATTCGCCACTATTCGCCACTTTACTCCAAGAAGACTCTCTCCTCCATTCGTCAACTCGCCTCTTTCCGCTATTCGGCTTGTCCCGGAATAACACGAGTTGGTCACGAATGATCCACTGCTATGCCTTATACTATCGGGAGGGCAGGTCGTACACTTTTCGCGAACACCTGGTGTTATCATTGATTTTCAGCGATCCATCCAGAGCCAATTTTACCGCCTTTTGTTCTCAATGTAATGGTTTCAGATAGTCAAGACTGGTTGTTATCTGTCATTGGTGTTCACAGGGGCAAAATAAAGTATATATAAACTGAGGTACAAAAGAAAGTACACACCCGGTGCTTTTGGATTACTTTACAAAAAGCGACGTAAATGTTTTGAAAAGAGTTTTTACAGTGATATATAGGTCACAGACTTTCCTAATATGTTGCCAAAACACCACAGATATCGTGCCCAATTGCGAAGTTGCCAGTCAAATCACAACTCTTTTCAAATAATCCCAAAACACCAGGTGTGTACTTTCTTTTGTTCGTCAGTTTATATAGATTTTGTTCTCTATGTAACTGAAAATTGAAAGAAATGTTAAATTCAAATTAACCATCACATATACATGTTCATGTATTTCAACAACGTCAATAACATCGCACAAAACTTGAACACAGCGAAAAACAATGACTTGAGGGCAGGGCGGTGGGGTAGCCTAGTGGTTAAAGCGTTGGCTCGTCACACCGAGGACCCGGGTTCGATTCCCCACATGGGTACATTGTGTGAAGCCCATTTCTGGTGTCCCCCGCCGTGATGTTGCTGGAATATTGATAAAAGAGGCGTAAAACCAAACTCACTCACTCACTCACTCACTTGAGGCCAGAATTGAGTGTCCCATGTTCTTTTGATTGTGTGTAAGGCCTATTTCATGACAAATCTAGGGCAGTAGGTACAACGTTCCTGAACTTGTAAGGATTTTAAAAAATCACTTATTCAAGATAACAGTATGGACATACCCAGAAAAATTATTGTTGGAGTGAGTGAGTTTTACGCTGCTTTTGGTACTATTCCAGCAATATCGATGCAGGGGACACCAGAAGTGGGCTTCACACATTTTGTCAATGTGTGGAATCGAACCAGGGTCTTCGGCGTGACGAGCGAGTGCTTTAACCACTAATACCCCACCGCCCTGACTGTTGGGCAGTTTAAGTCATTCCTCCACGTAATTCAGTCTTATGGATGTTTTTTACTTCATTCTATCTCTTCATGCTTATGTCTGTATATTAAACTGATGAGGCTATTTCATGACTTTTCATTTCTATATATTTCAGCAGCACAAGATTCAGCCCGTGAAGACCCGGGTTAGAATTGATCTTCAGTAACCCATGCTTGTCGTAAGGGGCGACTAACGGGATCTGGTGGCCAGGCCCTGACTTGGTTGACACATGTCACCGGTTCCCAATTGCGCAAATCGATGCTCATGATGTCAATCACTGGGCTGTCTGGTCCGCTTATTTACAGACAACCGCCATATAGCTGGGAATTTGCTGAGTATGGCATTAAATAACAAACGATCAAAGCACAAGAGTGATACAGAGGTTACCCACGTGATGTCCACAAACTGTCTTCACCATGGGTACAACAATGAGTGAGTGAGTGAGTGAGTATGGTGTTACGCCGTTTTTAGCAATATTCCAGCAATATCACGGCGGGGGACACCACAAATAGGCTTCACACATTGTGCCCATGTGGGGAATCGAACCCGGGTCTTCGGCGTGACGAGCGAACGCTTTAACCACTAGGCTACCCCACCGCCCGGTACAACAATGACCTACCACTGACCTTTGCAGTAATAGTGTTAACATGCGTCGGTAGTCCATTTCTCCGTAACATGGCATATTGTTCAACTGATTGAGTGTGAATCAAACCCGATTGGTCATTGTGTGACCCATGACCTTTGTGATGACCTTCACCTTATCACCTCACCATGGGTGCTCTCACAGGTAAGTCATGTGTTTTGCCTTAATCGTAGACTATAATGTTGGTTACCTTTCAGGTATAAATTCATGATCAATATGGTGTATCTGTTGAAACACGTTGTTTAATTAGTCAGTATCTTACAGGGAGTCTACTAGTTAGTGGTTACATGAATTCGTTTCGTTCATTCTTTGTACGTGTGGCCATGTTTATCATATGTTAAGGAAAAAACAAATAAAATCGGAAAACGTGCAAAATATTATGTATATGTGTCTGACATGATCTGTTATATAAACATATGAACATATATTTCTCGACGACAGGTGTATTGCATTTCTAAATTTGGAATTCTAGCTCATGTTAATAGGTCGCCTGATAAAGCCATAGACCTTATCTATCCCAATTCCACAGGTAAATGAATGATACACTGGGAAACGTTGGTTCTTAGAGGAAATATACTTTAGATTCAACTGTGTCTCAACTTATGAAATGTAACTATTTGAGCTAACGTTGTGTCATTGATAGAACAGTTGTTCCTACATGCAATGGACGAGGAAGACAATTACTAAAGCTCACTGTTTTCGAGAAATTTGTAAAAATATGGTTTAATTTAATTTAAAGCAAGGATTAAGTGTAACGTTTTAGAATAAGATACATATTCCACTATAACATAGTATGTATTTACAGTAAAACATCGGAAAATATTTATTCCGAAATTTCGCAATCATTGAATACTGAATGAATGTTGCTTTAGGTCGTGGTACTTTTACAATTGCATGAATCAGACAAGTGGTTGTCATTTGTATGACAATTATAATGATAATAATTAGACTATTTATAACGTGCCTTTCCGGGCTTAATATCCTGCTCAAAGCGCACAAAGGATGCTCACAGCGCACAATTTGATTATCATTACCCCGGATAACCCAAGCTGTGAGGCACTGGAAGGTTAATAGTCACATGACTTATCCCACCGGGTACCCATTTTCTGCTGGGTGAACAGAGGCAATTTTTAACAAACTCATTTGCCTAAGGTGAGACTTCGTGTATCACATGTGCTTCGTTGTGACAATTGCACATTCTCTAACATATTTCACGTTGTGACTACACGATCCATTGAATATGAAGTTCCCCAGGTAGTGGATGGAGATAGGTAGTTGTAGATACGTATTCTATTAACTCTATCGTCTCTACTTCGCCGGTTTGTGTTGTACTAAAGTCCGTTTGAGGCCGATGAACTGCTCATTAGCACAAAATCCTTCATCGTGCTACCATGCTATTCCAAATGGGAACGTATCTTAGACAGATATTTCACAGACAAAGAATGGATGATTTACAACATTATCCAAAACAAATGTATTTTACCAACAAAGTCTTTCTTTATAAAATAAAATACATTGAATCACCACTTTGCTCCTTTTGCCAAAACGATCTAGAAACTGCTGACCACCTCCTTTTGGAAATGTGAGCATGTAAAGAAAATATGGAACGAAGTAACAAAATGTCTTCATGCTGTCCAACTATCAGTAAATTTTACGTTTGAAAAGGTTTTGTTTGGAAGTAAAGGTGAAAATAATAATCCTATAAATGTAATCATCCTTCTAGTCAAACAAAGTATATTCAAATGTGCTACTGGAAACTATTTGCCTAATATCAATTTTATTAAAAAAGAAGTTATTAAGTATTATGACGCTACCAAATATCTCCATTTATCAAATGGTACTGAACAAATGTTTTTTCAATTCTGGTCAACGTTACACTTGTTGTTAGGATAGATGTATATTAATCTATAATACTGTGTACATGTCTTTACATATTATGTACCTCAGATGATTCACCATGTACTGTTTGCTGCCTACCTGTATGATCCTATAATGTTTGCCTGTAAAAATAATGAAAATAAAACAAAATAAATAAAAAATAGTACAAAATCTAATAATTGGTAATTTGCAACAAAACCAAAATTTGCAGTCACATGAAATCGACAGACCAACTCTGATGATTTGTCTCATAATTTTGGACACCCGAATAACAAAAGATGTTTACAAACGATCATTATTTTGTTGCCACTTGCTGGAAGAACACCCAGGTGTGCACGTGTGAAATTGAAATTTCACTACACACGCTTGTTGATTACCTGGCTGTAATGTGGTTTTTTTGCAATTATTAGATTTTGTGTTAGTGAGCAATTCATCGGTCTCAATAGAAATCAAACGGACTGTACGTTCCCCAATCACCTGTGACAACTTACTGCAGGTTTAAGGGGTATTTGAGTTTTTAACCAATATGGTCTGGTTCCATGGAGAATGAAACCAGTGAGTACTGATTAAGCATGAATTCCGCGCGAAAATAACTCTGCATGAAACAACGGACACGGTATCGTCAGTCGCCTAGTAACACAAACATGGGTTGCTGCAGACCAATTCTAACCCGGAAGACTAGCATGGGTTATTGAAGACAAATTCCAGCTTGGATCATTAAGGGTTTTTTACATGATAGGATTTTATCTATTTTAGGTTCCTCTTATTTCATATTATTGTCGCTTCATCTGTGCATCCGGGTGGCCAATACTGGTGAGTGTATATTAGACGTCATGTTGTTTGTGTTTTGTGTGTTTTAGTTTAACGACCCACGGGGCAATATTTGAGCTATTTAAAGGCGGTTTGTAAATAATCGAGTTTGGACCAGACAATCAAGTGATCATAATATCCATTCGATGTAAGCAACATGGATTCAGTGATATCATAGCTACTTGTCACTAACACAGGTGACTTAATAGTTCGCTCGTCACGCCGAAGACCCGGGTTCAATTCCCCACATGGGTACAATGTGTGAAGTCCATTTCTGGTGTCCCCTGCCGTGACATTGCTGGGATATTGCAAAAAGCGTCGTAAAACCATACTCACTCACTCGTACCACGAAGAAGTAGAAAGGTGCTCACAATATCAACCACTGGTGTGTCTGTACCACACTCAGTTATTATCTTCTGGAATAATGCTGAATATCGAACACACACGGATATATTGTAGCTGTTTGAACACCTCTTCCAAGCGTTGCAGTGAATGGTCTCATTGAACCAGTGTGCGAAATAGCCACTGGCGCGCTGGCCCGTGGCTAGTAAAGATCCAGTCGGGCCAATAAATCCCAACAGTCACTGACCCGACTGACTAGTGAATTTTCATGGGGTCATTTGTTTTTTTTATGGTATTTTACCTTTTTGTAATCTTTTGCTTAGTTTTCACATTCCAATTTCGGGCTAGTAAATTCTTTTGTAGGCTAGTAATTTTCAGGCATAGCTAGCCCGACTGGAGAGCAAAATTTGGAAACTATTTCGCACACTGCGTAAACACATTATTCTGCTTGAATACACATTATTCTGTGTGTGTGTGACCTATAATGTGTGTGTGTGTGTGTGTGTGTGTGTGTGTGTGTGTGTGTGTGTGTGTGTGTGTGTGTGTGTGTGTGTGTGTGCACGAACGTCCAGTTTACACGAATCCCGTACACTCGTCAAATGTAACGAACTTATCATGACGCGTTCACAAGGTAAGATAAACTATTTTCGATGAATTATTTGTGTGTGACAATTAGATTATCTTGTGTAGTGCGTAGAGTGAGTGTAGATAGCTAGTTCTCCAAACAGTACTGACGACTGAGTGAGTGAGTGAGTTTAGTTGTTAGCAATATTCCAGCAATATCTCGGCGGGGGACACCTGAAATGGGCTTCACACATTGTACCCATGTAGGGAATCGAACCCGGGCCTTCGTTGTGACGAGAGAACGCTACCCCACCGCCCCAGTACTGTACTGATATGATGATGATGATGATGATGATGATGATGATGATGATGATGATGATGATGATGATGATACTTACAACATTAATAGCTTTATGTTTCATATATGTTGAGCTTTTCCATGCTGGATATCACGCTTTAACATGAGCTTTATTACCCCGGTTAACGGAGTCTCAGCTGTGACGTATACCACCTATCCTGCGGCAGAGACCCCAGTCACAGTGCCATGTCTCATCCTTTGGCGGTAGCCGGTGAACTCTCGCCAAGGGAATTCTCGGCCCGGATATTACGCTTTCGTTGCTGTCAATGCTGATCATGTGTTGTATCGATGTGTATCCCCAGCCGTACACTGTTGGGGAGGGCCGTCCCTCTATTATATGGTGTGAAGACTCCCCAGCTTCGACTGTGCTACGCTTGAACGCACCAGGCAGATCTGTTCCAAGCACCTTCACAGTGACGCAACTAAAACCTTCTGTCCAAAATATTGTGGACTCTGCTCAGATGGTTCGAAGTCAAGCCGTTATTTTCATGTCGGCAAGAATAGTATGGTCTCTGTCAGTGACAAGCTGGATCTCGGGTCATGAATGCCAGAACTGGATCTCTGGTCACCTCATGTGTGTCTGAGTTGGATCTCCGCTCGGTTCATGAATGTCAGAACTGGATCTCCGCTCACCTCGTGTGTGTCTGAGCTGGATCTCCGCTCACCTCATGTGTGTCTGAGCTGGATCTCCGCTCACCTCGTGTGTGTCTGAGCTGGATCTTCGCTCACCTCATGTGTGTCTGAGCTGGATCTTCGCTCACCTCGTGTGTGTCTGAGCTGGATCTTCGCTCACCTTATGTGTATCCGAGCAGGATCTTCGCTCACCTCGTGTGTGTCTGAGCTGGATCTTCGCTCACCTCGTGTGTGTCTGAGCTGGATCTCCGCTCGGTTCATGTATCCGAGCAGGATCTTCGCTCCTCGTGTGTGTCTGAGCTGGATCTTCGCTCACCTCGTGTGTGTCTGAGCTGGATCTCCGCTCACCTCATGTGTGTCTGAGCTGGATCTTCGATCACGTCATGTGTGTTTAAGCTGGATCTCCGTCACCTCGTGTGTGTCTGAGTTGGATCTCTGCTCACCTCATTTGTGTCTGAGCTGGATCTCCGCTGGGCTCATGTGTGTCTGAGCTGGATTTTCGATAGGCTCATGATTGTCAGAGCTGGATCTCCGCTCACGATCATGTGTGTCTAAGCAGTATATACGCCAGGCTATTTGTGTCTGTGGTGATAATCGTTTGCCTCACGTACGTGAGAGCCCCGCTAACCCTATGCCATTCTGAGCTTGATCTCCCCTGGTCGTTTCGCTTGTTGTATCGAGTTTGTATGCATCTTGTGTGTCTGATGTTTCACTGTTCATGTGTCTTAATGTTCATGTATTGATGTTGTCTTCCCAAGACAGAGTTTCCTCCAGTAAGTGAGTGAGTGAGTACGGTTTTACGCCGATTTTAGCAATATTACAGCTACATCACGGAGAGAGACTCCAGAAATTTGCTTCACAAATCGTCCTTACATGGGGAATCGAACCAGTGTTTTAACTACTAGGCTCCAGTACTGCAATATATGTGATATATGTATGCAAAGAGACGTTCCCTGAGCCCATAATCCGTTAATCTCGGGGTTATTATAGGCTGATATTTGTAAAGGTTACAAATCAGGAACTACCAAACATTCATCATCAATACCATCGACATTTCCAGCAACGGCATCATCCCCGTCAGCTGCAACATCGGTATGGACGACGAGGACGATTGCTGTTCCCTACGACGGTCCATGTATAGACGATCCCGCTATGGACTGTGCTGATATGAACCGGACTGCCCACATATGCACGGCGTTCCCCAACAGTGACCAGACAAGGAAGTACTGCCCCAGATATTGCGGACTCTGTGGAAACGGTTGGCATCATGATAATAATCACAGAGTCACAGAACTTTATTTCATACATTTATTAATTGAGTATTTATTTGACGCCAATCAATCTTGCATACGCATTCTGGAGCCGATCAACAAAGCGTTCGTAGCGCTACACATTCGTAAGCCTGTGATAACTATAGGGTTACGATCGTTCGTAATTACGAATGATTTGTGGATCGGGACCTAGGACATCATACGCAGCAAATGACAATGTCAACGTCGTCACAGATGCCATTCATGTAGAACAGGTTGGTATCTTGATCACATGATTACGTTAAAGGTCACATGCAACCCAAAAATCAAACATAATTAAAACACAATTATCACTTATTCATGACATATAATATACATTGCTGGTTATGAAAAAACATATAAACAAAATTATAAGCGTACAATCGCAAATCAAAAGTGCAATATTGTGTACTTGGGTTTACTTCCCAAGAAACGAAGCAGCCGGGATACCGAACCCAGTCAGAGCGGGTGGGTGTGCACTCAAGTGTAACGGCTGGTTCATTTGCAGACGCCCTCACGGCTCATTGTGTGTGTATATATAGAGATGTTGGGTTTTGTAAATACATGCTCATTTTTTTTTTGTGTATAACATTTTGCAATCAACAGACATCATAACATGTCATGTGTTCAAGTATCACACCTGCCTGGCTGTGTAATTACATAATGTGACAGAGACCGAACTCGGGCCATAAATCAATGCGTTTTGTTTATGGTGTATAGCCTGATTGGTGTTAAGTTCAAATTGCATGTGGTCAGTGATCGCAGTTGTGTATTGAATTTTGTCATTAGCAGACAGGCAGGCAGACACAGATGTCAATAAAACAAGACATTGAGTTTTGTCTGTGACAACGACATATCTATATCACAGTTAGAAATTCTGTCAACGCTAAATAATGACATTGCTTTTAAGTATCGAACTGAGAAAGTGACTCGGTAAGAAGAACGTGTGGTGAAATAGACAAATGAAATTATATAAACAGTTTATTTACTGTCATAACATATAAAAAGCTCGCGCCTGTGAGATATCAACAAAACATTAGAAAAATAGCTCACACCAAAGCCTTCACCGAGTATTCACCGGACAGCCCGCTTCCAAGTTGCGCGAACCTATTTCACTGCGCACGTGCTATGAGCGCAGCCCAGCTGTTGAAACCAGTTTCCCCAAAAGTCGGGGGAAAATTAGTGAATCGTTTGAACTCCGATTTCGCGCTGGTTTTTTCATCGCGTTATTTTTCAACTTTATAAGTTGAATTTGCATTTTTCATTATTTGTTTCGGTAAATCCATACCGAAAGGTATCAGAATCTGCAAAGTTGTGTTTTACGTTGCATGTGACCTTTAACATATTACAAAAAGGAATTATTTCATTAAATAACTTGACATCTTGCATACGCATTCTGGGTGTCGGTCCCGTTCCACAACGCAATCGTAGCGCGTGTGTAGTGCAGAGTACAATAGTTCGTAAAAGTCACTAACGTCATTCATGCGTTACTATGTTTCATAAATTAATCATCTCTTTTTGTAACTTGACACTATCCATCTTGCATACCCATTCCGTCGGTCCCGTTCCACAGAGCATTCTTAGCGCCACGACATTCGTAAGCGTGTGTACTGCAGAGTACGACAGTTCGTAACTACGAACGCTTTGGGGATGGGACCAATGACATTGTACGCTGCATGTTTACAAACCAGGGAACCAAACTCCGACGTCTTCAGCAACGTCATCAGGCATGCATGTTACGGGTGCCCCATACAACGGTCCATGTAAAGACGATCCTACTTTCGACTGTGCTGACATTGACCGAACCGCGAAAATTTGTACTGTCTTCCGCGATAGTGCTGACACCAAGAGATACTGTCCGAGGTTCTGTGGACTATGTGGGACAGGTAATGAAGTTAACTGAAGAGATAGGCTTTAAGATTTATTCAGAATTTTCAAAATAGTTTAATATTTAATTTGAATGCCTGTATATTTTAGTGAGGGAGTGAGTATGGTTTTACGCCACTTTTAGCAATATTCCAGCAATATCGCGGACACCAGAAATGGGCTTCACACATTGTTCCCATGAGGGGAATCGAACCAGATGTCCAGCGTGACGAACGAACGCTTTAACCACTAGGCTACCCCAACCGCACCTAAACACAATTGTGAGAACCATCAACTAGATACATCTTTGGGAAGCCAATGTTATGCCTTCAGCATTGGGGCTATGGGATCGTATCTGCTTGTTCTTGTGCTAATAAAGATTGCAGAACTTTGCACCTTCTGCAATTTCGTGATAAGATGTCTGGGAAGACCATACAAAACATCATTGCTGTAGTCCAGAAATAAGTAACATAAGCTTCTGATTTAAATGATCAGTAAAAATGGCGGCCTAACCACTTTTCATTTACACCACAGCTCAGACAACATCCTCGCCATCATCAGTCAGCGGCTCGGCGACGACATCTCCCTCCTTTACTGGACCTTGTGTGGATGCCCCGGAAGCTGACTGCGCCGACCTTGACCACACTGCCCAGATCTGCACCCTCTACCGGGACAGCCAGAACACCAGGGACCTCTGTCCCAGATATTGTCACCTTTGCACTCCTGGTACAGTCTGAGTAGTAGCGGACGGGTGACTATGGAATCCTAGAAGGGACATTGTCGCTATGTCGCATTGTCGCGTTGTCAAAAACAAGTAAAGTGAGGCAAAATAAACCAAAACGCGACACGCGACATCGCGACAAGGCGACATTTCGCCCATTTGTCGCATTGTCGCGTGTCGCGTGTCGCCTTTTGTTTAATTTTGCTTGTATTTGAGAGGGCGACAACGCGACAATGTCCCTTCCAGGATTCCATAGGTGACAGTACTTTAGCGTTTTGTTTGTTGTTTAACGCCGCACTCAGCAATATTCCAGCAATATGGCGGCGGCCTGTAAATCATCGAGTCTGGACCAGACAATCCAGTCATCAACAGCATGAGCATCGATTTACACCATCGGGATACGATGACATGTGTCATCCAAGCCAGCGAGCCTGACAACCCGATCCCGTTAGTCGCCTCTTACGACAAGCATGGGTTACTGAAGATCAATTCTAACCCGGATTTTCACGGGTAGTACTTTAGCGGGATATTTCGGTACAAAAGGGCAACCGGTCCTTTTGTTCTCTCGAGGGTCCCTTTGTATTCCGATAAGTTACTGTCACTTGTCATGTATCTGTCTTAGAGCACCGCAATGTTCTCGAATTAAGTGAACAGCACATTAATAACTGTTTGTTGTTTTACGCCGCACGTACCTCAATCAACTACTCTCATACTATGCTCAGGAATTACAACGATCACTTCGTAGTGTAATCCACAGTATACCAAGACTCATTCTAGCAAGGGCTATGAAGTACCAGACCCGTTAAGGTCCGGGTTAGAATATTGGCCTTCAGTAACCCATGCTCGGGATCGGGTGATCAGCCTCACGGACTTGGTTGACACATGTCATCGGTTCCCAATTGCGCAGATCGATGCTCATGCTGTTGATCACTGGATTGTCTGGTCCAGATTATTTACAGACCGCCGCCAACACACTATGAAGTACCAGTGGATTATATCATCGTGATTGTTCAAGGTGGATCACAATACATTTCGCACGAACGACTTACAAACATTTGTAAATCTTCCTGTGAAAACAATATTTCAAATTTTAACGAACGTGTATTTTATGTAATGAGTGTAAACAAAATGAAAACAAAATGAAAAACACACAGCAAATATCCTTTTCCAAATCTGTCAACTAGCTCTCCAACCTATAAATGCTTTCAGTTCTATTGTTGATTTTCGGGGCAGTGGGGTAGCCTAGTCACGCCGAAGACCCGAGTTCGATTCCTTACATGGGAATAATGTGTGAAGCCCATTTGTGGTGACCCCCACGGTGATATTGCTGAAATATTGCTAAAAGCGGCGTAAAGTCAACTCACTTTATTGTTGATATCAAAGCAAGAACACGCCACCAAACGCGAACACCTGTGTTCACTGGCGTGTTTTAGACCCAACACTGGCATCAACGTGCCGCGACGCTGACGGAGCCAACTGCGCCGACCTGGACCACACCGCCCACATATGTACCACTTTCAGGGACAGCCAGAACACAAGGGAATTGTGTCCTAAATACTGTGGATTGTGCTCTGATGGTATTTGGTCTACATGTAGATTTACAGTGGCGGATCAGAGAGAGTAGAGAGAGAGAGTCAGAGAGGGATTTCGCCCCCGCCCCCACCCTTTTTGAAAATGACTAAAGACCACATTGAAGTTAATGTTTTGCAATGGCAGTTCCAAGATCAAGACCCCACCCCACCCAACCCTTGAAAATTTCTGGATCCGCCTATCCGAATATTGATCTTCAGTAACCCATGCTTGTCGTAAGAGGCGACTAACGGGATCGGGTGGTCAGGCTCGCTGACTTGGTTTGACACATGTCATCGGATCCCAGTTGCGCAGATTGATGCTCATGCTGTTGTTCACTGGATTTTCTGGCCCAGACTCGATCTGGCGGTCACCCTTTCGTTGCTGTCAATGCTGATCATTGTATCCCCAGCTACACGTGAAGACTCCCCCAGCTTCGACTGTGCTACGCTTGAACGCACCAGGCAGATCTGTTCCAAGCACCTTCACAGTGACGCAACTAAAACCTTCTGTCCCAAATATTGTGTACTCTGCTCAGATGGTTCGAAGTCAAGCCGTTATTTTTATGTCGGCAAGAATAGTATGGTCTCTGTCAGTGACAAGCTGGATCTCGGGTCATGAATGCCGGAACTGGATCTCTGGTCACATCATGTGTGTCTGAGTTGGATCTCCGTCACCTCATGTGTGTCTGAGTTGGATCTCCGTCACCTCATGTGTGTCTGAGTTGGATCTTCGTTCACCTCGTGTGTGTCTGAGCTGGATCTTCGCTCACCTCGTGTGTGTCTGAGCTGGATCTTCGGTCACCTCATGTGTGTCTGAGCTGGATCTTCGCTCACCTCGTGTGTGTCTGAGCTGGATCTTCGCTCACCTCGTGTGTGTCTGAGCTGGATCTTCGCTCACCTCGTGTGTGTCTGAGCTGGATCTCCGTCACCTTATGTGTATCCGAGCAGGATCTTCGCTCACCTCGTGTGTGTCTGAGCTGGATCTTCGCTCACCTCGTGTGTGTCTGAGCTGGATCTCCGCTCACCTCATGTGTGTCTGAGCTGGATCTCCTCTCGGTTCATGAATGTCAGAACTGGATCTCCGGTCACCTCGTGTGTGTCTGAGCTGGATCTTCACTCACCTTATGTGTATCCGAGCAGGATCTTCGCTCACCTCGTGTGTGTCTGAGCTGGATCTTCGCTCACCTCGTGTGTGTCTGAGCTGGATCTCCGCTCACCTCATGTGTGTCTGAGCTGGATCTTCGATCACCTCATGTGTGTTTGAGCTGGATCTCCGCTGGGCTCATGTGTGTCTGAGCTGGATTTTCGATAGGCTCATGATTGTCAGAGCTGGATCTCCGCTCACCTCATGTGTGTTTAAACAGTATATACGCCAGGCTATGTGTGTCTGTGGTGATAATCGTTTGCCTCACGTACGTGAGAGCCCCGCTAACCCTATGCCAGTCTGAGCTTGATCTCCCCTCGTCGTTCCGCTTGTTGTATCGAGCTTGTATGCATCTTGTGTGTCTGATGTTTCACTGTTCATGTGTCTTAACGTTCCTGTATTGATGCTGTCCTCCGCAGACAGAGTTTCCTCCAGTAAGTGAGTGAGTGAGTATGGTTTTACGCCGATTTTAGCAATATTACAGCTACATCACGGAGAGAGACTCCAGAAATTTGCTTCACAAATCGTCCTTACATGGGGAATCGAACCAGTGTTTTAACTACTAGGCTCCAGTACTGCAATATATGTGATATATGTATGCAAAGAGACGTTCCCTGAGCCCATAATCCGTTAATCTCGGGGTTATTATAGGCTGATATTTGTAATAGGTTACAAATCAGGAACTACCAAACATTCATCATCAATACCATCGACATTTCCAGCAACGGCATCATCCCCGTCAGCTGCAACATCGGTATGGACGACGAGGACGACTGCAGTTCCCTACGACGGTCCATGTATAGACGATCCCGCTATGGACTGTGCTGATATGAACCGGACTGCCCACATATGCACAGTGTTCCTCAACAGTGACCAGACAAGGAAGTACTGCCCCAAATATTGCGGACTCTGTGGAAACGGTTGGCATCATTATTATAATCACAGTCACAGAACTTTATTTCATACATTTAATAATTGAGTATTTATTTGACACCAATCAATCTTGCATACGCATTCTGGAGCCGAGCGTTTAGCGCGCTACACATTCAAAGCCTGAGGGACGATCGTTCATTACGATTTGTGGATCAGGACCTAGGACATCATACGCGTCAAATGACAATGTCAACGTCGTCACAGATGCCATTCATGTAGAACAGGTTGGTATCTTGATCACATGATTACGTTAAAAGTCACATGCAACCAAAAATCAAACATAATTAAAACACAATTATCACTTATTCATGACATATAATATACATTGCTGGTTATGAAAAAAACATATAAACAAAATTATAAGCGTACAATCGCAAATCAAAAAGTGCAATATTATTGTACTTGGGTTTACTTCCCAAGAAACGAAGCAGCCAGGATACCAGACAGTCAGAGCGGGTGGGTGTGCACTCAAGTGTAACGGCTGGTTCATTTGCAGATGCCCTCACGGCTCATTGTGTGTGTATATATAGAGATGTTGGGTTTTGTAAATACATGCTCATTTTTTGTGTATAACATTTTGCAATCAACAGACATCATAACATGTCATGTGTTCAAGTATCACACCTGCCTGTCTGTGTAATTACATAATGTGACAGAGACCGAACTCGGGCCATAAATCAATGCGTTTTGTTTATGGTGTATAGCCTGATTGGTGTTAAGTTCAAATTGCATGTGGTCAGTGATCGCAGTTGTGTATTGAATATTGTCATTAGCAGACAGGCAGGCAGACACACAGGTGTCAATAAAACAAGACATTGAGTTTTTGTCTGTGACAACGACATATCTATATCACAGTTAGAAATTCTGTCAACGCTAAATAATGACATTGCTTTTAAGTATCGAACTGAGAAAGTGACTCGGTAAGAAGAACGTGTGGTGAAATAGACAAATGAAATTATATAAACAGTTTATTTACTGTCATAACATATAAAAAGCTCGCGCCTGTGAGATATCAACAAAACATTAGAAAAATAGCTCACACCAAAGCCTTCACCGAGTATTCACCGGACAGCCCGCTTCCAAGTTGCGCGAACCTATTTCACTGCGCACGTGCTATGAGCGCAGCCCAGCTGTTGAAACCAGTTTCCCCCCGAAAAGTCGGGGGAAAATTAGTGAATCGTTTTGAACTCCGATTTCGCGCTGGTTTTTTCATCGCGTTATTTTTCAACTTTATAAGTTGAATTTGCATTTTTCATTATTTGTTTCGGTAAATCCATACCGAAAGGTATCAGAATCTGCAAAGTTGTGTTTTACGTTGCATGTGACCTTTAACATATTACAAAAAGTAATTATTTCATTAAATAACTTGACATCTTGCATACGCATTCTGAGTGTCGGTCCCATTCCACAACGCAATCGTAGCGCGTGTGTAGTGCAGAGTACAATAGTTCGTAACTAAGAACGCTTTGAGGATGGAACGAAGGATATTGTACGCAGCACACTTAGAAGGGAACCAAAGTCACTAACGTCATTCATGCGTTACTATGTTTCATAAATTAATCATCTCTTTTTGTAACTTGACACTATCCATCTTGCATACCCATTCCGTCGGTCCCGTTCCACAGAGCATTCTTAGCGCCACGACATTCTTAAGCGTGTGTACTGCAGAGTACGACAGTTCGTAACTACGAACGCTTTGGGGATGGGACCAATGACATTGTACGCTGCATGTTTACAAACCAGGGAACCAAACTCCAACGTCTTCAGCAACGTCAACGTCATCAGGCATGCATGTTACGGGTGCCCCATACAACGGTCCATGTAAAGACGATCCTACTTTCGACTGTGCTGACATTGACCGAACTGCGAAAATTTGTACTGTCTTCCGCGATAGTGCTGACACCAAGAGATACTGTCCGAAGTTCTGTGGACTATGTGGGACAGGTATTAGTTAACTGAAGAGATAGACATTAAGATTTATTCAGAATTTTAAAAATAGTTTAATATTTAATTTAAATGCCTGTATATTTTAGTGAGTGAGTGAGTATGGTTTTACGCCACTTTTAGCAATATTCCAGCAATATCACAGACACCAGAAATGGGCTTCACACATTGTTCCCATGTGGGGAATCGAACCAGGTGTTCAGCGTGACGAACGAACGCTTTAACCACTAGGCTACCCAACCGCACCTAAACACAATTGTGAGAACCATCAACTAGATACATCTTTGGGAAGCCAATGTTTTGCCTTCAGCATTGGGGCTATCTGCTTGTTCTTGTGCTAATAAAGGTTGCAGAACTTTGCACCTTCTGCAATTTCGTGATAAGATGTCTGGGAAGACCATACAAAACATCACTGCAGTAGACCAGAAATAAGTAACATAGGCTTCTGATTTAAATGATCAGTAAAAATGGCGGCCTAACTACTTTCATTTACACCACAGCTCAGGCAACATCATCGCCATCATCAGTCAGCGGCTCGGCGACGACATCTTTCTCCTTTACTGGACCTTGTGTGGATTCCCCGGAAGCTGACTGCGCCGACCTTGACCACACTGCCCAGATCTGCACCCTCTACCGGGACAGCCAGAACACCAGGGACCTCTGTCCCAGATATTGTCACCTTTGCACTCCTGGTACAGTCGGAGTAGTAGCGGACGGGTGACTATGGAATCCTAGAAGGGACATTGTCGCTATGTCGCATTGTCGCGTTGTCAAAAACAAGTAAAGTGAGGCAAAATAAACCAAAACGCGACACGCGACATCGCGACAACGCGACATTTCGCCCATTTGTCGCATTGTCGCGATGTCGCGTGTCGCGTTTTGTTTAATTTTGCTTGTATTTGAGAGGGCGACAATGCGACAACGCGACAATGTCCCTTCCAGGATTCCATAGGTGACAGTAACTTTAGCGTTTTGTTTGTTGTTTAACGCCGCACTCAGCAATATTCCAGCAATATGGCGGCGGTCTGTAAATAATCGAGTCTGGACCAGACGATCCAGTCATTAACAGCATGAGCATCGATTTACGCCATCGGGATACGATGACATGTGTCAATCTCGTCAGCGAGCCTGACAACCCGATCCCGTTAGTCGCCTCTTACGACAAGCATGGGTTACTGAAGATCAATTCTAACCCGGATTTTCACGGGTAGTACTTTAGCGGGATATTTAGGTACAGAGGGGCAACCGGTCCTTTTGTTCTCTCGAGTGTCCCTTTGTATTCCGATAAGTTACTGTCACTTGTCATGTATCTGTCTTAGAGCACCACAATGTTCTCGAATTAAGTGAACAGCACATTAATAACTGTTTGTTGTTTTACGCCGCACGTACCTCAATCAACTACTCTCATACTATGCGCAGGAATTACAACGATCACTTCGTAGTGTAATCCACAGTATTCCAAGACTCATTCTAGCAAGGGCTATGAAGTACCAGACCCGTGAAGGTCCGGGTTAGAATATTTGCCTTCAGTAACCCATGCTCGGGATCGGGTGATCTTCCTCACGGACTTGGTTGACACATGTCATCGGTTCCCAATTGCGCAGATCGATGCTCATGCTGTTGATCACTGGATTGTCTGGTCCAGATTATTTACAGACCGCCGCCAACTCACTCACACACTATGAAGTACCAGTGGATTATATTATCGTGATTGTTCAAGGTGGATCACAATACATTTCGCACGAACGACTTACAAACATTTGTAAAATCTTCCTGTGAAAACAATATTTCAAATTTTAACGAACGTGTATTTTATGTAATGAGTGTAAACAAAATGAAAACAAAATGAAAAACACACAGCAAATATCCTTTTCCAAATCTGTCAACTAGCTCTCCAACCTATAATGCTTTCAGTTCTATTGTTGATTTTCGGGGCAGTGGGGGTAGCCTAGTCACGCCGAAGACCCCGGTTCGATTCCCTACATGGGAACAATGTGTGAAGCCCATTTGTGGTGACCCCCACGGTGATATTGCTGAAATATTGCTAAAAGCGGCGTAAAGTCAACTCACTTTATTGTTGATATCAAAGCAAGAACACGCCACCAAAACGCGGACACCTGTGTTCATGTGTTTTAGACCCAACACTGGCATCAACGTGCCGCGACGCTGACGGAGCCAACTGCGCCGACCTGGACCACACCGCCCACATATGTACCACTTTCAGGGACAGCCAGAACACAAGGGAATTGTGTCCTAAATACTGTGGATTGTGCTCTGATGGTATTTGGTCTGCATGTAGATTTACAGTGGCGGATCCAGAGGAGGTGGGGTTGGGGGTGATGGGTGGGGGTTAAGGGGTGTCGCCGCCCACCCCCACCCCTTTTGAAAATGACTAAAGACCACATTGAAGTTAATGTTTTGCAATGGCAGTTCCATAGGGTTCAGGGGTTCAACCCCTGAAACCCCATCCCACCCCACCCCACCCACCCTTGAAAATTTCTGGATCCGCCTATCCGAATATTGATCTTCAGTAACCCATGCTTGTCGTAAGAGGCGACTAACGGGATCGGGTGGTCAGGCTCGCTGACTTGGTTTGACACATGTCATCGGATCCCAGTTGCGCAGATCGATGCTCATGCTGTTGTTCACTGGATTTTCTGGCCCAGACTCGATTATTTACAGACCGCCGCCAAATAGCTGGAATATTGCTGGGTGCGGCGTAAAACTAAACTCACTCACTCACTACTACAGGCGCTTCTACGGATAAGGCGTCTACTCTTCCGGGAGGATCTACATCAAGGCATCAATCACCAACTACAGCAAGATATGAGACACCTACTGCAGCAAGTCACAGCGACGCCACCACGACAACACCAATACATCCGGGTTCTACTTCCACTATGCCGAAAAAGACAACCGCCCCAAGGCATCCAGATTCTACCTCGACCAAGCCTACAGACACATCCACAACGAGACATCCAGATTCTACCTCCGCCAAGCCTACAGACACATCCACAACGAGACATCCAGATTCTACATCCGCCAAAACCACACCAGTCCAACACACAGACAGGACAACGTCAATAAAACCCGGGACGTCAGTAAAACCTACAACGTCAATAAAACCCGCAAAGTCAATAAAACCCACAACGTCAATAAAACCCACGACGTCAAGAAATCCCACTACATCAACAAAGCATCCAAAAACAACTGCTATCCCTCACAAAACTTCACACGCTGCCACGGCAGTTCCCGTGTCCATGACAACCCCAAGTCTGGACCAAATTTTTGCGATGAGCTTCTACAGAAATGACGTCAACCATGATGGAATTTTGACGCTGTTGGACTTTGAAAAGCTGTGGATTGAACAAGATGTGAACGGTGAGAAAGTAGCATTCTAAATGATTGTAAATGATACAATTAAGTATATTGAGATACGTTAGTGAATGAGTATGGTCTTAACATGATTCACCTGTGTTCTCTCATCAGTGCGTGGGTACCCGGTAGGATGAGATGTTAACGTGACTTCAAAGTTCTAGCACTTCACAGGCAACTTGGGTTTTATACTCCCCAGTGAGCTGAATAATCTAGCGCATGCTGAGCGGAGAAATAGACTCGCCGCATGCATGCCTTATTATGATTATTATGATTATTATTATTAACAACATTACCATTATTAGTGGTGGTGGTTTTCCATCAATATAACAGCAACTGAAAATAGAAACAAGCTCTGTAAACTTTGAAACTATGTAGGAGTTTGAACTCGGCCTTCAGCATGACGAGTGAACGCTCTACCAATAGCCTATTTCATTCCCGTTAAACAGTTTCTGGCGGGGCGGTGGGGTAGTCTGGTGGTTAAAGCGTTCGCTCGTCACGCCGAAGACCCAGGTTCGATTCCTCACATGGGTATACACCCGTGAAGGTCCGGGTTAGAATGAACCTTCAGTAACCCATGCTTGTCGTAGGAGGCGACTAACGGGATCGGGTGGTCAGGCTCGCTGGCTTGGTTGACACATGTCATCGGTTCCCAATTGCGCAGATCGATGTTCATGCTGTTGATCAGTGGATTGTCTGAGTCAGACCCGATTATTTCAGACCACCGCAATATAGCTGGAATATTGCTGAGTGCGGCGTAAAACTAAACTCACTCACTCACTCACCCACATGGGTACAATGTGAGAAGCCCATTTCTGGTGTCCGCCCTGTGATAATGCTGGAATATTGCTAAAAGCGGCGTAAAACTAAACTCACTCACTCACTCACTCACTCATACGAACGACACATGGGCACAATGTGTGAAGCCCATTTCTGGTGTCCCCCGCCGTGATGTTGCTGGAATATTGCTAAAAAGCGGCGTAAAACCAAACTCAGTCAGTCAGTCAGTCAGTCATACGAACGATGGTCAGCATCTTCAGCCGTCTATCATCAAGCTGTTTGACGTGCACAACTAACTGCGTTATCTTCAGGGGATCAGCGGGTTACCATCACAGAGTACGCGGCTGTGACGCATTTATCCAAGTTCATCACCACGGAACTGTTCCAGTTCATTGATCATGACCACAACGGAGCCATCACACTACAAGAGGTGCCACGGCTGTTCATGGAATACGATTCCAACTGTGAGTAGAACAGTGTTGAATTCCTTGTCAACCGTTTTGGTGATGTATCTGGAAAAAGCATCTAGCACCCATCAAAAGTTTAAACTCACCTGAAGCACTCACACTACATGTTATGTATATTTTTATATGGTTACATCGAAGATGAATTTCTCCACTGATTTGGTGGAAACAACTGCAAATCTTTAGCAGATGAATTGCACGAGGATCATGCATCAAATTGCTGAAAAGCATGTGCAAATATCGTGCATGTGAACAGCTGTGTTTTGTGTAAAGTTTTGTTAAGACTTCCCCAGTTTTCACTCATGGATACCTGCTCATGTTGGAATATTTGGAAATGAAAAAGCTGATCAGTTGGCAAAAGCTGCATTAGATTTTGATGTCTTAGAACAGGATGAGACAATATTGCCCTCTCCTGCAGAATTATGCACCGTCAGTAAGATCCATGTTCAAACGAAATGGCAACAGAGATGGACCTCATCCTTAAAACGCCGCCGTCTCTATGGCATCGAGCCTTATGTAGCTAAAGCAAAATTATCCAGAATCAATCGTAGAGAAGAGGTTCTTTTAACCAGACTTCGTCTTGGGCATTGTGGTCTTGGTGCGTATCTAAACATTATTAATAATGATATTCCTGCATATTGCACAGTGTGTAATCAGCTAGATGATGTGGCTCATCATTTACTGCATTGCCAAAAACATCTAACTCAACGTAAGGCGATGGTGGAATCTTTGACAGCGCTTAATATTGACATCTCATTGACTGGACTGTTGTGTTCAAGTAATATCACTCGCAATGATGTTCAGAATGTCATTCTTGCTTATATTAAATCGTGTGGCAGCTTAACTACTTTATACAAAATTAGAAACTTAGCAAACCTTTATGATGGGCAAGGTGTAAATGGGTCCAGTTGCCCGAACACCTATTAAACTTTCAATTATCTATCTATCTATCCACCCAGTTTTCACTGAGTTTCATCATTTATTGAACTCGTGACAAGAATCTTTTCAACGCTACGAATTTTTTTTACAATGCATGAGTTCATGTGTAAACAGTACCTTCAGACAGTATGGAATATTTTGCAAAATCTAGTTTAGAACAGTTGCCTGAAGTAAGTGGCTACGTTTATACTAGTGTGTCTAAACCTTTGATGGGTAGTATACAATGGTTATTTCTAATCGTCATCATATAAACTGACGTACCAAAGAAAGTACACACAAACGTGCAAATAAAAGAAATCCACACAAAACGTTTAGGGGGATTATTTTCCACATATTTTAACAGTGTTCCTTGTTGATCGTTTTGGCTGTGGTGAGCTTAGAGCGTTTGCATGGTGACCGAAGCGTTGATCCCCTCGTAGGGTCATCCCCAAAGCATTAAGGTGATAATCGTTCTATCTAGACTGGACTATTCAAACAGCATTCTGTTTGGACTCAGCTCTGCACACTTGACAAAACTCCAGAAAATCCAAAACGTTGCAGCCCGCATTGTATCCCTAACATCTAAAAGATCTCACATAACCCCTGTCCTAAAGTCTCTTCACTGGTTGCCCATCCAAGCCAGAATCGAATTCAAGATCTTGACCATTGTGTTCCAATGTCTACATGACCTAGCGCCTCAGTACCTCTCTGAACTCATCTCAGTGTACACACTACCACGACAGCTGAGATCACACCAACAGTTCCTCCTAACAACATCCCCTGTCAATCTCAAGAACTATGGTCACAGATCATTCAGCTATACTGCTCCTTCACTGTGGAACAGTTTTCCCATAACCATCAAACCAGCAAAATCTCTTGACTTATTCAAATCTTCATTGAAGACCCATCTTTTCAGGAAATATTACGAATGACTTGTACAATTGCTGCAGTTTTTAGCTGTACACACGTGGCGCCATGAGCATACACTAGTGTGTGGATACGGCGCCATACAAGTGGACATTATTATTATTATTATCATTGAAACCAGGAATGCTCTGTTCAGAGTCAGTATTCTGTATCTGATTGGGTTATTCATGATAAACTGTGGCATGGTATCTAAATGACCCAGCACAGAAAAAAAAAACACCGACAAGAGCTCGCGCATGCACACATGAATCCATAACGCTATAATCGTTGACATGGAGTTTACCCCTTTTCAAATCACCTATCAAAACTGTTATTAAGTATCTAGTCCTCCAAGGTGTTTAAGGGTAGGTGGGGTAGCCTAGTGGCTAAAGCGTTGGCTCATCACGCCGGAGACCCGGGTTCGATTCCCCACATAGGTGCAATGTGTGAAGCCCATTTCTGGTGTCCCCCGCCGTAATATTGCTGGAATATTGCTGAAAGCGGCGTGAAACTAAACTCACTCACTCCAAGATGCTAGTAGTTTGAGGCTAGCTAATTAATGTTTAAGTAGACGCGTTCAGTGAATCGCGTCGACATCAACATCATTGTCCATTTAAATATTATCGCTTTATTATAACAATGCATGTTTCAGCCGATGGTGTCATAAACGAGGGGGAATTTATAGCTGAATTCCGTAGGGTAAGTACCTCCCCAACTCCCACGCCGTCGTAATGTACTGATCGTGATCGTAAACTGGTTGGGTTCGCGATATTTAGGAGCGAGTCGTCATTTACAAGAAATCAGTACTACGTGAAATATTTTACAAATATTGTACAGTTGAATGTGTATGCCTCGGTTATAAACAACGTTGAGCTGTATAAATGAGCTATAAAATTACAAATGTGCGTTCTCCACTACGAGTAAAAATAAGCCCAAATATCAGTGTTCCATAAGCAAATACCACTGTATCCATGGTAATTCATGTACATCTGATGTTGTGCGTCGAAAGCGCGTGGACTTACCTTCAATGTTAATCTTTCAGATTTACAACTTTGTGAAGGACCATGCAAAATAGCCACAACGTAAGTACTATTCACAGTCTCTTCGACTAAGATTCCCCCAGCAGCCCATGCTTGTCGTAAGAGGCGACTAACGTGACCGGGTGGTCAGGCTCGCTGACTTGGTTGACCACATGTCATCGTATCCCAATTGCGTGGACTGATGCTCATGCTGTTGATCACTGGCTTGTCTGGTCCAGACTCGATTATTTACAGACCGCAGCCATACAGCTGGAATATTGCTGAGTGCGTCGTAAAACTAAACTCACTCACTCTCTTGACAACCACTGTATCCAATCTGTCAACAACAACATTCAATCAATCCCATACCTAATACCAACCTTCCATTTATCACAGTACCTCATGTAATCAGCTTTCAAATACTTCTTTACTTGACCCAAACGCTAATCCTTTACATCCCTTTAGAGGTATATCTGTAATATCGCTGACTGTGGTGAAGAATGTTTCACCACACCCATGTTGCTGACAAATGAAATATCATGATCACTGTGAAAAATGTCTTCGAACTCAAAAACAGTATCCTCCTTACCATGACGATAAGCCGAAATCCAATGACCTAGAGCCCTTGGTCATCAGTGCCTAATCAGTACAAGAATGGCCACCCTTGGCACCGAAGTTGATACATAATTATGCTGATACATAATTATGCTCATGACATATAGTCATAATCAAAGACAATGAACTCTGGCTTTAGCAGAGACTTTTAAATGTTTGGATATTCTGGTCGGGCTGTCTTTTCTTTTAACCATGTGTGGTTAAGGCCGATACATTTGCAAGAGTGTCAGTATTCTAGCAGTATCTCAAGTGCCTGTATTTACCAGAAGTGTTTGAGCGAGTGAGTGTGTGAGTGAGTATGGTTTTACGCCGCTTTTAGCAATATTCCAGCAATATCACGGCGGGGGACACCAGAAATGGGCTTCACACATTGTACCCATGTAGGGAATCGAACCTGGTTCTTCGTTGTGACGAGCGAACGCTTTAACCTCTAGGCTACCCCACCGCCCCACAGAAGTGTTTGAAATTATGTGTAGAAACAGACTCAGTCCTTTTCACAACCATTTCCTTTAAAAGCTTTTAAACGTTTTTTTTATGATGTTACTTTTCTTTTCTTGTAGTATGGATCGAGGAGATAGTTGGGGAGGTAACAATATCGAAGAAACTGACAATGATGAAACAAAGACGTGTGTTTTACAAAGACATGTTTTAAAATCAATTTTTTTTAAGCAACGGCCCATCAACGCCCATCCAGTTTAACGCAACAACTCTTTTTCAAAAAGAACGTCTTTGTGAATTTATTCAATGCAATGATCTTGACCTTTGTCTGATCTTCTTGGTCTTGACCTTTGTCTGATCTTTACAAAAGGAGTCGCAGCGTCATTTGAAAAAAAAGGCAATGGAAAGATACGCTCTGATAAAAATATTTCTGGCTAAATTTCGCGAACTTCGTATTTTTGTTTATTCATTGTACGTCATACTCATATATGAATGATTTGATTTTATTCTTTAGGTGCATGCAATCTCCAGAAAGAAGACAATTCTACAAACAATTTCAAATAAAATGTGTTTTGTAGATCACAGTGTTTTGGTGTTCATAATGAGAGATACAGCATTAATAGCACTACTGGCTGACTGACTGAGTATGGTTTTACGCCGCTTTTAGCAATATTCCAGCAACATCACGGCGGGGGACACCAGAAATGGACTTCACACATTGTACCCATGTGGGGATTCGAACCCGGGTCTTCGGCGTGACGAGCCAACGCTTTGACCACTAGGCTACCCCACCGCCCCAACCATAGTACTAACTCAGTGTTTCCGCCATCGCAGTAGGTTAACGATTGGGAGGTGGCAGTAGACCAAGTGTTTCAAGCATTCAATATATACTACCCATGTGTGAAACTAGACATTCAATATATGTCGGGGCACATTACTCCAAAATCCACAGAATTCTTTTCAGCAAATGAAAACGAAAAACGAAAGAAAATTATTATTGTTGTCACAATAAAATAATAAAAAAAAAACAAAACGAAAAAAAGTCCACAATTGACATTCTGTAGGTCAATCCACAATCTGGCTGTAAATCCAGTGAGTGAGTTTAGTTTTACGCTGCACCCAGCAATATTTTAGCTATATGGCGGCGGTCTGTAAATAATCGAGGCTGGATCTGACAATACAGTGATCAACAGCATAAGCATCGATTTACGCAATTGGGATACAATGACATGTGTCAACCAAGCCTGACCACCCAATCCCGTTAGTCGCCTTTTACAAGCACGTGTTACTGAAGATCAATTCTAACCCGGATCTTCACGGGTAGTACTTCAGCGGGATATTTAGGTATAGTATCTTCTCAGCTCGCTGATAAATCCAGAATCACGCAACAACGACAGTATGTCCATTAATCAGTAAATATAAAATCCAGCACATAACATTGAAGGATTCAATGTCCATTATTCTACCAGCAAGAGTCTGGCAGATAATCCTCAATCCAGTGTGGCAATCAAACTTTCACCTATGAAGATTTCGGTTAGAATTGGTCTTCAGCAACCCATGCTTGTCCTAAGAGGTGACTAACAGGAACGGGTGGTCAGGCTCGTTGCCTTGGTTGACACGTCATCGTATCCCAATTGTGTAGATCGATTCTCAAGCTGTTTATCACTGGATTGTCTGGTCCACACTCGATTATTTACAGACTACTGCCATAAACTTGACTACTGTAAAAATTTACTGACCGGTGCATCAAAGACCCAGATAGCCAAGCTGCAGAGAGTGCAGGACGTCGCCGCCCGTATCGTGACTCGCTCTGGAAAATATGAACACATTACTCCTATACTGTACACTCTCCACTGGCTTCCAGTCGAGTTCAGGATCCAGTTTAAACTCTTATGCCTTGTTTTGCGCTGTCTCACTGGAACTGCACCTTCTTATCTATCCAATCTTCTAACCGTGTACACGCCTTCCCGATCTCTCCGTTCACAGGAAAAGAACTTGCTTGTTGTTCCCAAAGTAAAGACAGTGATGTATGGAAAGAGGTCCTTTGTCCATGCAGGATCTATAGCCTGGAACAGTCTCCCGCAGAGCCTCAGAGACTGTTGTGACTTTAATTCTTTTAGATCCAATCTAAAAACACACATGTTCAAGATAGCCTTTGAACTGTAGCTCTGTACCATTAATCTCATCTTTATCTTGTGCGTTTTGAGCATGCTTTAGCATAGATATATGCTCGTAACAAATATGCTATTAAATAGCTGGAATATTGCTGAGTGCAGCACTGGACATTCAATATAGGAGTGTATACCAAAAACGCAAAAGTATGTCCTACCACCATATTTGTTTTATTTTTATACATTCATCCAGAATATTCGAAAGAGTAGGCAAATGCAGATGAGGATTGAATGTCAGCTCTTGAAAAGAAGCTCTTGCATGTCCTGTCAGACTATGGAGATGATATTAGTTTTATCCTAATGGGAGATTTCAATGCCCGAACTGCAGATGAAACAGATTGCATAATAAATGACGACACGCACTATTTGCCGCTTAACGATGATTATAGAGAAGATTCATTTGATATACCAAGAAACTCATTTGATACACAAATCAACACCTATGGTAGAAGTGTTCTAAACTTGTGTAAAGTGTTCAACCTCCACATAGTAAATGGGAGGACATTGGGAGATGTACATGGTAACGTTACATTCATATCGCGGGCAGGAGCCAGTGTGGTGGACTACGTGTTAGTATCAAGTACTATATTTCCTAAAATCAGTGACATGACTGTGATTCCAAGATCAGAATCTGACCATATGCCTATAGCATGTACATTTAATGACGTCATAAGGAAAGATACTGCACCAGCGTCTGGAACAGAAATGCCACTCTACACGATGCCCAGATACAGATGCAGCAATACGGACACAGAACAATTATCTGGCGTTGTTGCAAACGACAAGATAAATGTACTGATATCTGAATTTCTGGAATATTTAAACTTGGATATAAATCGTGCAGTTAGCAAATTATCAGACGTCGTGGCAGCAACAGGAAAACGAGTATTACCCCGTAATTCAAACTCTAGTCAAGCTCCTAAACAACCTGCCTGGTTTGATATTGAGTGCCAACAACTTTAAACGGCGAAATACAGGTGTCTCCACAAGTTCAGGAACTTTAATTGTGATAAAAACAGAAATTATTATATTGGTGCAAAGCATGCCTTCAAAGAATGTTGTAAACTTAAGAAACTTAGATACAACAGAAAAATTGCAGATGACATCACCGTTGCGGCAGCGCGTGGGGATTGTAAGAATTCTGGAGTAAAGTAAAACAGGCATTCCGAACAAACATTGATTCATGTATTTCCGCAGCTGACTGGCAAGCCTACTTTACTGATTTGTTAAATCCTGAAATAGAAGTAACTGCCTCAGAGTTTGACCAACAAGTAAAACACTTCCTTGAACATCACTCGTGTAAGGACTGCGATGGGTTAGCGCACCAAGATATTTATTTATTTAAACAGTGAAATTTCTGAAGAAGAAATTAGGAGAAATCTATATCTGATCTTAAATTAAATAAATCACCAGGCACTGACGGGATACCCCCAGAACTGTACAAACTATCATGTAATATTTTTATTCCATATGTGAAGATGCTATTCAACAAGATTTTGGACAATGGTCTGTTTCCTACAAACTGGAATATCGGCGTTATTATACCACTGTTTAAATCTGGATCCAAGAAAGAACCATCTAATTATAGAGAAATATCAATTCTAAACTCAATGGGAAAACTCTTTATTTCAATTATATAGAAAAGATTAAGGACGTGGGTTGAGTTAAACGAAATATTATCCGAAGGTCAAGCTGGATTCCGCCCACAACATTCAACTACTCACCATATCTTCACTCTTCAGGCTTTGTGTTCGAAATAATGTGCAAACCCAAAGGCCGTTTTCATTGACTTTAAAAAGGAATTTGACTTTGTGGACAGAGATAAACTGCTATATATTCTGATTCAACGCGGCTGTCACGGAAAGATAACTATGTTGCTTAAAAGTATGTACGCATCGGTGAAAGCCAGTGTAAGAGTGAATAATGACTCAAGAACTGAAACTTCTCGTGGAGTGAGACAAGGATGTATTCTCAGCCCCCTCCTCTTATTTCTCTTTATTAATGAATTTGCAACAGAGCTCTAACAATCAGGCAACAATGGAATTTTGTTACTCAAGATATACAAGATCTATTGCTGCTAATGTTTGCTGATGACATCGTCCTTTTTGCTACCAGTGTAATAGGTCTTCAGCGCCAACTTAATATCCTGGAATCATTCTGTATCAAATGGGGACTACAGCTGAATCTTAACAAAACAAATATCATAGTGTTTCGTAACGGAGGAATTCTGAGACATTCTGAAAAATGGACTTTTGTAAAAATCCTCTTAAGGTGGTTACATACTACAAATATCTCGGCATAATATTTTCATCTAGGCTCGTGTGGACAAAAGCCTGTGAAGCACTTGCTCAACAAGCAAGTAAAGCCTGCCTCTCTGTTTTCAGACTTTTTAACAAGTATCAAGAACTAACCTATTCAAGTGCAAGAACTATATTTGATCGAAAGTGGCACCTATACTACTATACGGTTCGAAAATATGGGGACATAAATATTCTGATGTAATCGAGAGGGTCCTTACTATGTATTTCAAACGATTTCTGAAAATTGGAAAATGTGCTTCAAACAAAGCCACACTTGGAGAGCTTGGTCGTCACCCCATCTGCGTATTAACACAGATTCGAGTAATCAAGTTTTGGTTCAAGATACTCAGTAAGAATGAACAACGTTATCCCTGCAGTGCTACAGAATGCTAAAAACATTTGATGACATGGGCAGAACAAACTGGGCATCCAATGTTAGAAGCTTACTATTCAGAAACGGGTATTCTCATGTCTGGTTAAACCAGGGAGTTGCTAACGTTCAGCTATTCATGTATACTTTTGAACAACGATTGAAGGATATTGCCTACCAAACTTGGCACAACGAAATCAGCAGCTCCACTTTTTTCAGCCATTATTCAGTTTAAACATGAACTTTGCCTGGAGTCCTACATAACAGAACTGAAATATAAACATCTGATCCGTGCACTTATAAAGTTTCGTATTTCGAATAACAACTTTAAAGTGAACATGTACAGACTTAATGAGGATGGCCCACGTACGAACTACTTGTGTTCATTCTGTGATGCCGCGGAAACAGAAACTGAGAATCACGTATTCTTCCGATGTGACAAATATCAGTGGTACAGAGACAGTTACTTCAAACAATTACAAAATGTCTACAAAGGCCCACTCACTCTGCCGTCAATTTTGCAATCCAAAAATCCCCAAGTTATATACTGCACAGCACTATTTTTACATTATGTTTTTAAAGTAAGATCCCAATACAAATTATGACCACTGTTTCACGAAACTGCCAAAGTTTGGGACTGTATTATAGGCCATGGGGCCGATATTACGAATAAACTTCTGTCTGTCTGTCTGTACACCAAAATGTAGATTGTTAAAGTTGCTCCAGACAAAAAATATAAATAGACCAGACAATCCAGTGATTGATAGTGGAATATCAGCAACTACATGATGTCAGGGCATGTTGACACCCAATTAAAAAAGTTCAATCCCTGGGCCTAGATTTTCGAAGCTCTCTTAGCACTAAGATAGTCGTAAGTGCCATCTTAGTGCTAAGAGAGCGTTCGGAAATCTAGTCCCTGGTCCATACATTCACTTCTCACTGGTTCCTTGCTGCCAATTCAAACCGAGAATCCTTAGGGATTTACATCTACAGATCACTTTTGGATGATGTGCTACATACTCTGTAATCCAGCTCAGGTTTAGCAATTAAGACAACACTAAAATTTGCAATTATATTTGATCAACAATATACTTTCTTTCATGCCTTTTCCATTTCAAAAGCACCTAAATTGCTTCAGTATGTTTTGTCTCAGCATACAATGCTGAAATATGTGTTGTCTCAGCATACAGCCATTTTTTAATGGAAAATAAAAAACATTCTGCCTTATGTGAATGAGTGAGTGAGTTGGGTTTTATGTTGCTTTGAGCGACGGTCGTGCCTGATAAACACGACAACACCAGTTAATGGACAACTAACACCTGCATCCTTGCAAACGCATATAGCCGTGTTAAGGCATGTAATGAAAACACACACATAAAATATGTGCACATGAAAACAGGTTTTATTGCCTCATTTCCCTCTATACATAAAAAAAACAGATCATCAACAAGACTACATAACAGCATCTGGGTCCACGTTGTTCTGGCAGAAAATAGACTGGAGAACATCAGTTCCTCGCAACAGTTTTGTGCTTCCAATGACAACCTGTGAACACATGAAATGTTGCAAGTCACTTAATTGCTCTGTGGTAAAAGTATTGACATGCCTGTAAGTCAAGCTTCTGTCCTATTATTACTGGTACAAGTATTGACATGCCTGTAAGTCAAGCTTCTGCCCTATTATTACAGGTACAAGTATTGACATGCCTGTAAGTCAAGCTTCTGCCCTATTATTACAGGTACAAGTATTGACATGCCTGTAAGTCAAGCTTCTGCCCTATTATTACTGGTACAAGTATTGACATGCCTGTAAGTCAAGCTTCTGCCCTATTATTACAGGTGACATGCCAAGTATTGACATACCTGTAAGTCAAGCTTCTGCCCTATTATTACAGGTACAAGTATTGACATGCCTGTAAGTCAAGCTTCTGCCCTATTATTACAGGTACAAGTATTGACATGCCTGTAAGTCAAGCTTCTGCCCTATTATTAAGTGAATGCTTCAAGCTTCTCCCCTATATTCTGCCCAGTTGAAAGAACTAGTCAGGTAATAAGTTTACATACCTGTTTATCAAGCTTCATCTTGTCCACCACATCTCTGACCTGCTTGTCCACATCTCTGACCTGCTTGACCTCTGGCGCGGTCACCCCACCCACTACAAACACCAGCAGCAAAGGGTGGTCACTGGGGCCGGGCTTGCTCACGTTCATAAACAATCTGAAAATGTAACAGAAAAATACTGGTGTGCACAGAGTTTATCCAACTACCTATGTAAACCATCCTTCAATAAACGGCCTCCGTGGTGTAGTGGTTAGAGCGTCCACCCGGAGAGCGGAAGGTCGCAGGTTCGATCCCCAACCGCGTCATACCAAAAGACGTTAAAATATGGTACTTGTTGGTCCCTGCCTGGCGCTCGGCATTAATGGGTACACAAGGACTGATCGTCTCGGAGTCAGTATAATGTGTCTGAGAGGGGTATTCATGCTTCACTGCGGCATGGTATCTCAGTGGGCTAGCACTATAACACCAGCTAAAGTCTGGGCTAGTACAAGCAGCCGCACATACACATACACACGCATGCACGTCGTCATATGAGCGAAATATTCTCAAGCACGACGTTAAACCCAATTTCACCTCACCATCCTTCAATAAAAATAGACGTCAACTTCAGCTCCATCAGTTTGATACAGAATGGGTACAGTGTTTGTTGAGAGAGAGGAAGGTCGGTTGTTAGACTCCCAGCTGTGTCATACCAGTAAGTAAGTTTAGTTTTATGCCGCTTTAGGCAATATTCCAACAATATCACGGCCGGGGACACCAGAAATGGGCTTCATACATTGTACCCATGTGAGGAATCGAATCCGGGTTTTCGAGTGTCGAGTGAACGCTTTAACCACTAGGTTACCCCACCGCTCCCTGTGTCATACCAAGACCTATTGAAAGATAGTAGTTGTGTTTCCATCGCCGATGGACATTTTGCATCGAGTCAATATACTGTGTGCTTGTGTAAGAACCGTGTTTAAGATCAGAAATATGTTTCTGGTTTAACTTTCATGAGTGTTTCCTACCCTTGATTAAAATGGCTTTTCCGCACTAGCACAAGCAAACACCAAAATAACCTCACACAGAAAAATATGTTCAAAGATTGGAACCACCAGTTACCCAAATCCTGATTTCAAGAAGTCTTTGAGTCCACTCGATTTAAATTCTAGATCCACAAGCTCGGGCTTGTCGGGGCTGAAGATCTGTTCCACTATTGTCTTCAGCAGAGGCTTCATGCTGGCTGGACTGATGGCTGTAGATGGCTCCAGGATGGACCTGAGGAAACAGGAGAGTGTGTATAAATTCTGAACTGGCAAACGTACAGACAGGAATAGACACACACACAGTATATATGTAGTGCCAACACCTCCGCTATTGTTACAAAATTTGCCGATGAATGAAGTTCAATAGATATCAATTAGTGTCACGGACATTAGTGCTCATTTGTCAATTAATTTATGAGAGATGTCTGAATTGTTGTTATATTCTGTATTGTTATGATGATTGCCAACCTGAAGACAATAAAGATGACAAGAGATTTACGTTTTCTGTCTTTTATTAAGTTCTAAAAAGTAGACATGGTCAGACTGAAATGCATCATTATAACAATGCCAGTAGAGTACAGTCGCATATTTCGCATTAATAAAATACTTGCATTAATTTCATGATTTACAGTATACACACATACAGACAGAAATGGAAGTGGACAGTAGTACAAGACAACACACAGGAACTGTCCTATGAAAGCACAGAGGCCTATTTTGGTTGGTTGTTTAATGCTGCACTCAGCAATATTCCAGGTATGTGTCAACTGTAAATAATCGAGTCTGGACCAGACAATCCTGTACTGACATCATCAGTAGTGATCTAAGCAATTGGGATACAATGACATGTGTCAACCAAGTCAGCGAGCCTGACCACCCGATCCCGTTAGTCGCCTCTAATGACAAGCATGGGTTACTGAAGATCAATTCTAACCCGGACCTTCACGGGTGGTAGACTGAGAGAGATACAGACAGGTAGGTGGACACATAAATAGGTAGGTAGGTAAGTATAGACACAAAACAGTCACAGGTAGGCAGACAGACAGACAGACAGGCAGGCAGGTGGAACCGGATGCAGGTAGACAGATGCAGACAGACAGGCACAACCTACTGGAAGTTCTTGAGGTCGTCCCGAGCAGTCCCCACAGCCTCCAGTTTGCTCCACACATCCTCCAGCAGGTCCCTCACAATACTGCCACTAACAGCATCCCCCACTGCAATAGAGTGAGTGAGTGAGTTGAATTTTTCGCTGCACTCAGCAATATTCCAGCTATATGGCGGTGGTCTGTAAATAATTGAGTCTGGACCAGACAATCCAGTGATTAACAGCATGAGCATCGATCTGCCCAATTGGGAACCGATGATATGTGGTAACCAAGTCAGTGAGCCTGACCCCGATCCCGTTAGTCGCCTCTTACGACAAGCATGGGTTACTGAAGATCAATATTCAAACAGAATAACTGGATAATGTTCCCACGTGATGGAGGATGACAAGAAGCTACACTGTTCCCATAACAACTTGGATCGATTCTACAAAGTTGTCTACCACTATCAAGAATCTAGGTTAAACATGTAAGATTTAGGACTATCTTAGCACTAGGATCACTTAGTGTGACACGATCATTGTTCCAATTATACAAATCATTAAAAACACAAACCTTCCCCAATACACATCAGCAATGATCTAAATATGTTGATATATTGATAAAATAAGTAAATAAATGTGGTCCCTTTGAATAATAATGAAACAAATTAAATTTTCCTGATCCAGTTAATAATATTTCAAGCAAATATTGGTAATTATCAGTATGTTAATTCCTTGAACATTTTTTACATTTTTTCAGCTGAAAGTGGCAACTGAGCCACTCAACTATGACAGTTCCCATAGGTCTATCTGATGTATGTACATAGAATATCAAGGGTGATTATAAATGGAAGGTCACACAACAATATGGTGAGTTATTACGAAAGTAACTTCAGCAAACTCACCAATAGAATGTATCACCGGGGTAAGTCGGACTTCTCAGCTAAAATAGCCTCCACAAGCTGGTCCTGAACAAAGATCAAATAAAATCAGGTGAGGAAAACAGGGTATAATGCAGGGCTCCAGATAATGTTTCGACATCAACAGTACGTACTCCTTATTTTTTCAATACAGGAGTACTGGAAAACCTTAAGCCTACATTTAGAGTACTGAATGGAATTTAATGGAGTATCAGTAATCTTGTGTTTCGTTTTATATATGCACCACAACATCGCTACTCTTGTGTAAACAGGTCAATAAACAATAAAACAATAATTTTCAGATAAATATGTCTGTAAATGATTCTAAGCCCGTACACCATTGCTGTGGTGCGTATCTGCTACGTTTTCTAAATTATTTCCTACCGTATCGTGCATATTTGTTATCCGTACATACGCCGATAACGGCCCTTATCTGGAGCCCTGTAATATCATGTTAATACTTATGGCACTAACAAAACTAACAAAGTTGTGTGAAAGTGAGTTTGAGTGTTGAGGTACAGATCGTTGTTTTGTGAATTCCCTACTGGGACTATTCAACGAAGTAGCTTTGAATGAATGCGGTTTTGTAGAATCCAAACACGGTGTCTGTCTGTTCATTGTTTAACAACCAAAAGAATATTCCAGCTCCATGACAGCAGTATAAAAATAATCTCAACCAGACAATCCAATCATTGACATTACTAGCGTAGCGGCCATAAAATTTCCGAGTCCCGTGCTGGGATTCGAACCATGGACCTTCCGATGTCGGGCGCGTGGTCCACATGACCAAAGAGGTTAACCCCATCAGCAAGCTGACAAGGTAAGGATGTCATCTGTGGGATGACTCTACGCCCTGCTACATACTCCCCCGTCAACAGAAGGCATGTCCCGAGCCGCATAGCAGAGTACTTTATTTTGCTCAAATTTAATAAGAATAAACATGTGCCTTATAGTAAATGTCCAACAACCCTGTAACTACATATTTTGATGACTAAAGAGTTTAATTTGATAAGCGTACATGAAATTTCAAAGTTTAGTATTTTTCTGAAAATAAAACCTCCAACATGGTGATGTGTAGTATCAAATAAGTGTACAGCCCTAATCCTGTACAGCATGGGATCAGGGGAGTGGGGAGGGGGACATTTTCACAATGTGCCTGAAATATTAAACATTGAAATTGAATGAAACCCTAACCCACGCGCAGGCTTGTTTCTATGGAAATTCCCCTCCTCTGGCCACCTGACTGATACAGTGGGAAATTCAAATATGGATTTGACAAAAAGAGAAATATATATTTTCAAAATGTATGTTTTGTAGGCTGTCTGCATCCATACATTTTACCGTCAGCCTTCATAACATACTTCTTTACACTATGACTTAATGTCCTCATGAACCGGGTAAGTCAGTTTTGTGATATTTCATGGAATGTACTTGAATACTGCATTGCTTTGCATTTAAAGACAGCTTTTACAAGGCAAGGAGGCCACACCCCATCTGTGTATAGGTTTGAACCCCGGCCTTTAAGTGAGTAATTGTTTTTGAATCAGGCATTTAAAAAATCGGAAGCAGCAAGAACTTCACCAACCTGCACTTCCAGTTCCTCGTCCCCACAGTCTCCTCCTGACAGCGAGTACAGGAACATCAGCACCATCAACACATCGTCCAGACTATGGGACCTACACACAGACAAATGGTGGTGGTGGTGGTGGAATTGGGTTTAACGTCGTGCTTGAGAATATTTCGCTCATATGACGACGTGCATGCGTGTGTGTGTGTGTGTGTGCGGCTGCCTGTACTAGCCCAGACTGAAGCTGGTTTTATAGTGCTACCCCACTGAGATACCATGCCGCAGTGAAGCATGAATACCCCACTCAGACACATTATACTGACTCCGAGCTGACCAGTCCTTGTTGTACCCATTAATGCCGAGCGCCAGGCAGGGACCAACAAGTACCATATTTTAATGTCTTTTGGGTATGACCCGGTCGGGGATCGAACCCGCGACCTTCCGCACTCCGGGCCGACACTCTTACCACTACACCACGGAGGCGGTCTACACAGACAGATGGAAGAAAGATGTCATAAAGTGCTGTGTTCTGATTTACTACTAATTCAGAGTTGAAGACAATTATTTTACAGAGACGAACAATATTGGCACATTCTAAAACATTTCTCACGATTTCATCATTTTGTTACTGTGACCATACTGGATGGACTAACCTCTGATTGGCTGGAAGCTGTAGTTGACCTTTGAGCAAGGTCAGTATGTGGGACAGACCACCGGCAGAGCTGTCATCTCCAACAAGTTGGACAAGATTCTTTTCTGTGCTTAATAGGTTGTCATGGCGACTAGTATCCTGATGTTTCAAAGCCTGTGATGTTGCCATGGCAACCTGGAGAGTATCTAGATGAGACTCAATGGCAGCATAGTTGCCTCTGACAAATAGAAACATCATAATATGTCACAACTTTTGCATTCGTTTTGGAACTAAACGATTTTTTTTCGTGTAAACATTTGCTTATGTGAAGGACTTGTACATCTCGACCTGCAATATTGCTGTGGACTGAAACTGAAAGTAGACACACCAGTTTGCTGAACAGAGCTCTCAGCAATATTCCACCTATATGATAGCGGTCTGTAAATGATCGAGTCTGGACCAGACAATCCAGTGATGGACATCGTGAGAATCAGTCTACACAAATGAGATCGATGCATCAAATATGTACAAAACCTGAACACAAATCCATTTAGTTACATCTTCTGAGAAACAAGCAGTAATTCCAATGACCTTCCTCTTCTGATAACAATGATGAATGTTACATTCTGAATCACACTTTGCCTGCTTCATTCACATTTCTTAGAAGCTGACAACTGACAAAGCAGACATAATTTATGGAAAACAACTTTTCTATTTTTACAGTTATGGAGATGGTTAAAAAACAAAGCGCCTTTAAGCAGCTGAGCTGGATATCGGCGCTATACAAATGTTAGTATGTATATAATAATGTATGTATGTAATAATGTATGTAATAATGTATGTATGTATGTATGTATGTATGTAATAATGTATGTATGTAATAATGTATGCAATATATGTATGTAATAATGTATGTATGTAATAATGTAATAATGTAATAATGTATGTACATATGTATGTATGTATGTATGTATGTATGTATGTATGTATGTATGTATGTATGTATGTATGTATGTAGGTAGGTAGGTAGGTAGGTAGGTAGGTAGGTAGGTAGGTAGGTAGGTAGGTTTAGTATAGATCCTTAAACAGGTGTAAAACACTGACTGACTGACTGAGTTTGGTTTTACGCCGCTTTTAGCAATATTCAAGCAGCATCATGGCGGGGGACACCAGAAATGGGCTTCACACATTGTACCCATGTGGGGATTCGAACCCGGGTCTTCGGCGTGACGAGCCAACGCTTTAACCATTAGGCTACCCCACCGCCCCAGGTGTAAAACAAGGCCTACTGGAAGAGGTAGAGCGTATAAGAGAAATATCTTTGCCTACTTGAATAAACTGAGTGTGGTGTCTAGCTGTTCTGCAGTCACACGTCCTGGTTTGCCTGCCAAGTTGACGGGAAGCTTCTCACTGGTAGCAGCTTCAACTAGCCGTCGATTTACAGCCATTAAACATTCCTGATAATCAAATTGAGAAGATGAAGCATAATAAACTATACCATTTTACAGACAAATGTGGAGATATGCCATAGCTACTTGTAATTTCTTATTGAGAGAACTTTGATAACCTGCACAGCTCCATCTAAGGTCTCAATCTCTCAATCAGTTGACCATCAGGGCATGGATACAGAGTCATCTCCCCTTACAAGTTCCACTCCACTAAAACTGAATCAGTTACACAGCCAGAAGATGCATAGAAAACATGGGATGAGCAGTGAAGCACCCAGCAGTTAGGACTGGATAAAAATGTGATAGATTGTGATGTATTTTTTAATCGAAATCTGCACAGTAATTAAATATGACAATTTTTGGGGTCAGTATTTTGATCACCATTGTTTCTTGCTGAATGTGTCAACAGATACTTTCAAACAGGTGACACTTTGTGTGGAATTGGAGTTGGTGTGATTTGCTTCCTGTAATCAAAAATGGAGCTGGCTGAGCTAACCAAATCTGGTGGTTGTATTTCAGCCTTAAGGCTAGGTTGTGCATGCATGAACATTTGATTGGCAGAAGAAATACAATATAACATTACAATTGAATAACTACAAAGGAAAAACATTGGTTGAGTGTAGTTTATAGTCACCTTGTGTTTACCAAACACCAGATTCTGCAAATGTATAGGTTGTGAAGAGAAGCTGCCCGACGCTAGGCTTCCTGGGACAATGACGTTTTTAGCATCCCTACAACAAATGATACAAGAAATCAGTGATCAGTTGGAGATCTGGGTTATGGTGGGGAGGTTGTACGCAACCAAAGTCTTAATCTATCACCTGGAATCTTCAAAGGCATAAGACGACACTATTTTTATGGTTTTCAGTACGGGACCGTTCATAATTTATGGCTTTTGGTGTGTGTGTGTGTGAGAGAGAGAGAGATTTAAGGGGGTGTGTGTGTGTGTTTGTCACCCATTTTTTTCTGGGGAGGTGGGGGGTCATCAATTTTGTACATAAAAATATTTAAACATTATGCTTAAAAAATATTGAAAGATGGGGGGTCATTGATTTTGTACATGACATGCAAGGGGGGGGGGAAAGAGACTTACTTTGTACATAAATTTTAGGGGGGGTCATTCACATTGTACATGCTTCTCCATTAAAATCATCGTCATCCCCCCTGGCCATAAATTATGAACGGTCCCTAAGCTGCAACATTTATTTATTCTATGATACTGGCCATTGATAAAGTTGCTTTTCAACAAGAAAAAGGACACAGTTAGGATCAGATGAATATTCTTAAGGGACAGCAAAGTATTATTAACTTCAATAAATAGGAAATTTGAAAAACTTTCTAAAACTTTACTGCTCATAACCTTGCTCATGTTGAAATGAGTTTGTTCATACTAAGTTCAAGGGGAATTTTCTTGATGCCACAATTAACTCATAATGCCCTGTGGCACACTTCAACCCCTGAAAAGCTAAATCAGTCTGCGATCAGATGCATTCAACAAATTGTGTCCTCACTTTACAATGGAGCAGAGAGGGGTCATGTCGACCATGACATCAGCATTGTGACGAGGCAGTGATGGCAGGACGCTGGTGATCTTGTCCAGTAGAGTGTCCAGCTGGTGGCCAGCAGGGGATGCAAGGTCTAGGGTCCGGTCAATCAGGATGACTGAAGCTCTGTTGGAGACATTCTGAAACAGGGCAAACATGAGCACTCTTCTGAAACAAAATCAGTCATGCACCACTGGTATTCTTCTCCAAGCAAAAATGTACTGGGAAGTATCTTGTTGGGATACCGGACTTGGGCTCCCTCTCATACACATTATAGGAGTGAGTGAGTGAGTCTGGTTTTAGGCCAGTTTTAGCACTATTCCTGAAATATCACAGTGGGGACACCCACAATGGGGTTCACACATAGTACACATTAGATAATCAATCCTATACCGGGACGGGGGAAAGCTACGCAGATTACAAAGAGAATCTCACACAAACTTTGTTCGATATCAAACATGCAAGCCAATAAAACTTCACAAATGGAGAATTGACACATCCAGGTTTGGTTTTTATATTCTGAGGGGAAAATATATGAGAGCACAAGTGTTCCTTTATTTTTTTCCCAGGATTCTTCACAAGCTTTGTATCTCACAACTTGTAAAAAAACCTGGAAAAAAATAAAGGAACACTTGTGCTTTCATGCGATCCCTTATTTTCTTTCCCTCAGTATATTACAATATACCATTTCTTAGACACCAAGTATAACTTCTCTCTTAAGCCTTAACAGTAAGAATATTTTTGAAGTCCAATACAGACAAGTGACCTCACCTTCCTTCTAATCTTGGCAGGTGGGTAGTTTTCAATCTCTGTGGCTAGTAGTCGACTTGTGTGACCCATGCTGTACAGGTCTTCCCTGACCCCGAGGTCACTCAGCAAGGCATGGAAGCAGCAAGCAAGCCTCTGTAACCATGGTAACAGTGTGAGTGAGTGAGTGAGTAAATGTAAAATATTTCTGCTTTATCTCATTCTCTTCCCACAGAGGTTACTTGTCATATCTTCCTACGAACCTCTGTTCTAATATGGCCCTTTCATGGTGCAAGTGTTCAGGATTCTTGATTTAGTTGTGCAATCAGCGACGTTGTTTCAAAAGTGATCATTTGCAAGGCCTCGGTAATTTCTGTATGCTTCGGAAAACTAGAACCTCTTCCCCTGCGCGATGCGCAAACGTTTCTTCTAGACAGAACTCAGTCATGTAATGATGGATCAATGGGGCCTCCATCGCCCTCGTTGACAACGAACAAGCTAGCCATTAAATGTATCGTGTGTCACATCAACACAAGTCCCCGGCAGAGGAGGGATATTTGTGGCCCCACATTTCCTTGTGTTAGTCAATTTGGATCTAAGTCGATGTAACACGTGTTCTGATTTGATAGAAAGAAGGGAGATAATTTGTGTTGCGATTTTTTGCCGCTATGGGTTTTACAAGAACCGGGAAATATGGTCATATTAGAACAGAGGTATGTGGGAAGATATGACAAGTAACCTATGTGGGAAGAGAATGGCTTTATCTTTGCAGTGAATCTGCAAAAGTCGAGACTCTCTCAACATCTAATCCTCTTACATTGCTATCACAACAAGAAAGGAACACTGGGGCACTATTCTTCCCTGAACACCTACTGAGGGTTTGAGTTAGTGAGTGAGTAAGCAGAGGGCTCCAGATAAGGGCCGTATCAGCATATGTACGGATACAAAATATGTACAATACCATAGGAAATAATTTAGAAAACGTAGCACATATGCACCACAGCAATGCTGTACAGTCTTAGAATCATTTACAGAAGTATTTATCTTAAAAATTATTGTTTTATTGTTTATTGACCTGTTTACACAAGAGTAGCAATGTTGTGGTGCATATATGAAAGGAAACTGATTACTGATACTCCATTAAATTCCACTCAGTACTCTAAATGTACTCTTAAGGTTTTCCATTTCCAGTACTTCTATATTGATCAAATATGGAGTATGGACTCCTGATGTTGAAAAATTATCTGGAGCCCTGGAGTATGGTTTTACGCCGCTTTTAGCAATATTCCAGCAATATCATGGCTGGGGACACCAGAAATGGGCTTCACAAATTGTACCCATGTAGGGAATTGAACCTGGGCCTTCGGCGCGACAAGCAAACGTTTTAACCACTAGACTCCCCACCGCCCAGTGAGGGTTTTTGAGTTAAGGCCCATAATGAATTCACCCATCTCCAGAAACACATTTGGTGTGGTACCATTACTGACAGGTTTTATAGTTGTGCCAATGTCCATCAGATGCTTGCTGATTGTATCAGACTCAAAATGAGGTGAAATGTTAGATTATTGCACTCATATAGCAATCGTGACTTGTATGTGGCTGCTTGTCCTTGTATGGACTAATGCCTTAATTCATATCTTTAAACAGACACATATATCGCTGTAGTGAGTTCATGCAATATTTGTGTGAACTTGTACGCCAGTATTATCCAACCAGAACTCTCAGATCCCAGTCCCAAATTCTGTGCACAGTGCCTAGATACAGACTAAAACAATTTTGATTCAGATCATTTGCCCACCAATCAGCTGTTCTATGGAATTCACTGCCTGAAGATCTCAAAACAGTTTTTATTTAAGAAGTACTTTGTCTAGACTCTCACCCAAATAACTTTACTTGTAGCGCCATGAGCATACCAGCTGGCGTGGAGCTTGGCGCGTTACAAATTCACTCATTATTATTATTATCATTAAAATACCCAACAGACCAGGGAAATAAAAATATATCAAATACATAAAGAGTACAATATCCAATGAGAATGATAACTTCTGACAACTCAAAGGCTCAAACAAGTACCTGGAAACCTTGTCTGATGTATTATAGAGTTACCTTGAAAGTAACCTGTAATGCTTTGGGAAGATACTGACACTCAATCTCAGACAGGGAGGTAAACGATGCCTTGTCTCCCTAGAAAACACAGGATGTTAACATGTAAATTGACAATAAACCATAAAACATGGCAATTACATCATTTCTACAATGAGTGAGTGTGATTAGTTTGACAAGAATTGGCAATTTATCAGGAATTTTTCCTTGATGATCTAGAGCAGGTTGACATTGATCTGGATTGTTTGAAGTCAGTTTCATGAACAATACAATCAAGCCTAATGGATTTTGCTATGTGACATCTTAACCAACCTTGACCTTGTGAGCAGTGTTGTACTGTAGCTGTACATGTTGTACGTCCGTCTCAAGTAACGGGAACACTTGAGAGAAAGCTGGCGTGACGAACAGTCCAGGACATATGTCGGCAGTGAACAGAGGGATGTGAAATATTTCTGCAGTGTAATTCTGCAAAGTACAATGTAATCTTATTCATTAACAAATCACAGGGGCATGGAAAAGCATGGACATTGTCCCACTTGCTACATTTGATGGCCAGACAAACAAACAAATCTGCTTCAGTTGCCAATATACAACCATAAAATTTAAACCTTCAGTCAATTTTGATAAATTGATCTTATCAAGTACTAAACATCTCAACTGACAACAGATTATTACTTCCTTGTTCTGATTCAGATCATGCACCAAGGCAGAACCTGTGAAGATCCGGGTTAGAACTTGTCTTCAGCTACTCATGCTTGTCGTAAGAGTTGACTAACAAGATCGGGTGGTTAGGTTTACACGTCATCGTATCCCAATAGCGTAGAATGATGATCATGCTGTTGATCACTGGACTGTCTGGTTCAGACTCGATTATTTACAGACTGTCGCCATATAGCTGGAATATTGCTGAGTGCGGCGTTAAACAACAAACAAACTCTACGGCAGGTATTCTGATTAACTATCTGAGTTGCATGTTGCTAGTTGTTGAAATGGTAAGAATTCATGAACTTTAAAAGGCCAACGTGATACAAACACTGATTCATTAATGTCAAAAAGAAACTCATGGGCAATAATGTATGAAATGGGATAAAAAAGACAGGTTTGGGTACAGCATCTGGCAAAGTACGCTTGTTTCCAGATCTGTTCAGCACTGGTTCAGTAGGGAACACAAAACAAAAGCTACTGACAATTCATGACAAGGCAAAACAGACATGAGTTACTGTCCTTGACTGTCAACACTGCATCATAGTGGTGTTCCGATTAATTGAAATAATCGAAGATTGGTCGCAGTGACCAAACGACCAAGCAATCGATCACATTTTCTCATAATCGAACACAAACGATTTTGGAACTGCTGTTTTAGTCTTTGAAACACTTGACGATGGAACATATCTTCGAAGTTGTCGGGGCCTGCAAACTTGTTTAATTCTTAGAAAACTCACTTCACTAACTGAAAAGTCATGACTGAATATTTCTTGAAGACTCCAGGAAGTTTATGGTCATGATATACCAGTCAAATTCCAGCTGCAAGTCATCACTTTAAAGTAGCAAGTTGCATCATCTTATACCTATCTGCAATAACAACCTGGAAAGGAAAATCTGAAAAATGATGCTAACCAATGTTTTTCGATGATTGTTCGTTGGTAATGAAGCAATCATCAATTGTGAGATTTCAACCAAGTCCCAACACTACTGCATCATGATGTACATATTCACAGAAGCAGTTCTTTCTGCTGAGTTGCAAGAAGGGGATATATTTCCATACTACAGAAGTCTAATACAAAATAGTTTTAGGTTTGCAGTACTCTGCACAGCACCTTACATAAAGTTACAACGAGTGAGTGAGTTTAGTGTTACGCTGCTTTTAGCAATATTCCAGCAATATCATGGTGGGGGACACAAGAAATGGGCATCACACATTGTACCATGTGGGGAATTGAAACCTGGTTTTCGGCGTGATGAGGGAACGCTTTAATCACTTGGCTACTCCACAGCACCTTACAAGGGGACTGTACTCTACACAGCACCTTACAAGGGGACTGTACTCTACACAGCACCTTACAAGGGGACTGTACTCTACACAGCACCTTACAAGGGGACTGTACTCTACACAGCACCTTACAAGGGGACTGTACTCTACACAGCACCTTACAAGGGGACTGTACTCTACACAGCACCTTACAAGGGGACTGTACTCTACACAGCACCTTACAAGGGGACTGTACTCTACACAGCATCTTACAAGGGACTGTACTCTACACAGCACCTTACAAGGGGACTGTACTCTACACAGCACCACAAGGGGACTGTACTCTACACAGCACCTTACAAGGGGACTGTACTCTACACAGCACCTTACAAGGGGACTGTACTCTACACAGCACCTACAAGGGACTGTACTCTACACAGCACCTTACAAGGGGACTGTACTCTACACAGCACCTTACAAGGGGACTGTACTCTACACAGCACCTTACAAGGGGACTGTACTCTACTCTACACAGCACCTTACAAGTACTAAGGGGACTGTACTCTACACAGCACCTTACAAAGGGGACTGTACTCTACACACAGCAGCACTGTACTCTACACAGCACTTACAAGGGGGACTGTACTTATACACAAGGGGACTGTACTCTACACAGCATCTTGGAAGGGGACTGTACTCTACACAGCACCTTACAAGGGGACTGTACTCTACACAGCACCTTACAAGGGGACTGTACTCTACACAGCACCTTACAAGGGGACTGTACTCTACACAGCATCTTGGAAGGTAATATTCTCCACAAAAATGTGAAGGGGACGTAACTCTGGAAGTCAAGGTCTACACTTTGCAATTAGTTCCTTGTATGAAAGCTTCAGTAAATAGCTACAGTCTCAGTACTCACCATGTTTCCCATCCACTGAAGCAGAAGATCTTCTATTTCATCAAAGTCATGTTTGTCATCAACCTCTGCACTTCCTGTGCGGTCAAAAGCAAGCACATTGCTGCTAACAGTGGAGATGACAACAACATACTGAAAGTTGCTTTGTTCAACAACATCCTTCAACACGTCCCGAGTCACAGAGTCTCGCAACATGGAGCTGACAATGAACACTGCCTTTTTCTGATTAGGATCTGCCTTCTGAAACACAATGGGGCTAATGTGTCAACAACTATGCGCTTTCCAATATACTTGCTATATTAGATGTGGTCTTTGTTGTCACCAAATTATAAACTAAATAAAACATGGTCCCTATAATCAAATGCAAAATCAAATACCTCAAGGACTATTTCAGATACTGCCAGTACTTAGTTTTAACTTTTCAGGGGTTCAAAATTTGTTTAAAAAGCCACTTGCCACAGGGCAAGTGACTTTAATAAAGTAACTTGTCCTGACTAATTTTCCACTTGCCCTGATTTTATGACATAATCATGATGATGTAATTATGAAAGAATGAATCAACATGGTTACTGTTCAGTTTTACCTGATGATGGGGCCAGAACAAGCCCTGAAACGTTGTACTCGAGAATAAAAAGAAGATGTAACCCAGAAAAAATCTCTATGTTCATCAAATATCATCTTCTAAAATGCCAATCAAGCATCTAATGGTATTTGATGTTAATGTTTACTGGACTAGTATTTATTGAAAAGTGATAAATAGCAAAGAAAGATAACTCTACTTTATTATCATTGCAAAATTTAATAGCTACATTTTGATATGAAACTAAATCCTAGTCTATTTTCAGTTTGAAACCATTGGAAATTATCTAGTAGCCCACGGACAAGTAAGATACCATTATTTGATTGCCCTAAATGAAAACTGAGCCGGGCGATGGGATTTTTTGAACCCTGACTTTTCATCACGAGGGTCTAACATCATATATGTTTTGTAAAGTGGCTATTGGATGAAATATGAAACTGGAAAAACTTAAAGATTTTGTACATTTCAGTAGTAGTTGTTCATTCCATACAGGGCTCCAGATAATTTAATGGAGTACAATGGAGTATCAATGATCTTGTGTTCCGTTTCATATATGCACCACAACATTGCTACTCTTGTGTAAACAGGTGAAAAACAATACTTTTTCAGATAAATATGTCTGTAAATGACTCTAAGATCGTACACCATTGCTGTGGTGCGTATGTGCTACGTTTTCTAAATCATTTCCTACCGTATCGTGCATATTTTTTATCCGTACATATGCCGATATGGCCCTTATCTGGAGCCCTGCCATATATCAACCCTGCAAATAGCCAAATCTGGATCTAACAATGAACACAACCAATGATCCACACCACACTGTCTTACGGCCAGAAAAGAATTCTGAGATCCTATTTTACTGAAAATTTTAAATAATGCCCAAGGAGTTCTAAATTAAACTGCACAACAACATGAATACTCCTAGACTTGACACACATATTACCTCAAAAGAAGAGAACTCGCGCACATCCACAGCCCCGGCCTCCAGGAGTCGAGCCATTCCGCCCTGCCAGTGTAGCAGCTCGGCACATGGGTCATCAACATACACCACTGCTCTGTTCACCTTCAACACTACATCTTCCCATAATGCCTTTGAGCACTGCCACGTTGACTTCATCTTTATGGCTTGTTCAATCACTCATACCTAAAACATAGATGTAATCATGATATGTTTGGCGATTTGTAAATAGTCAAGACTGTACCAGACAATCCAGTGATTAGTTTCAACCATGAACACTAGTCTATGCAATTGGGATATGATAAGACAGAAGACATGCATCAACCACATCTGTTCGCCCAGTCTCGTCAGTCACTTCTTACTAGTGTTGGGAATTGGTTAAAATTTCATAATTGATGATTGGTTTATTACAACCGATCAATCATCGAAAATAATTGGTTAGCATCATTAATGAAATTTGTTAATGCACATAAAAATAAGGAAAAAACATGTAGTTCTTTTGGGTTTTTGGGCAAAATTTCACATCTTTAAAGGATGACTAGTATGTCAGGAACATAAATTTCTTGGAGTCTTTAAGAAAAATTCAATCATGACTTGAAACAAACTTGTGGTGCTTATTAAATGTAACAGACAAAACCAACCTTGTGAAAAATATTGTTTATGAAAACAAGTGTTCCAGAATGGTTTGTGTTTGATTATGAGAAAACGTGATCGATTGCTTGGTCGTTTAGTCACTGCGACCAATCTTCGATTATTTCAATAAATCGGACCGCCACTACTTCTTACAACAAGCATGGGTTGCTTCAGTCCATTTCTGACCTGTATCCACTTGCACGAAGCATCTTAGGTAACTAGGACATATATAGTAGAGTTACCAAAACAATAACAGGAAGGGGAAAAAGTGTGAGGCAATGTCGTACATAAAGTGTCATACCAAACTACCACAAACAACAAGTTAGCCAAGTTAATAAACAAAACACATAAATGGGTAAAGAAAAGATCATGGAAAATGATAAACAGTTAGTTCTATTCTAATCATCGAAATTCACAGAAAGATCAAGATGAGCAGATGTTGGCATTATTGTATGAGCTGATAAGGTTGAAGATGTCGTTGTCATGCAATGTACTAAAAAACTCAATCGCAGCAACAATGTCTGAGGCATTGTTTTTTGTCAAGTTTTTCTCTTCACTACAAACTGATTGAGTAAAGCTTAGTAGTAGGTGAACACCTGGTGTCATCACGGATTGTCACACTGACGATAGATACAACTTATAGTATAGCTTACATAGACTAAATCCAACTAGATATTCCAAATGTTTAAATCCAAATGACAAGAATTTGAAGAACCTGTTCAAACTTCAATCTGTCAATATTCAAAACGCGGATTGAATAATCTTTCCGGTCATTCAGTTTTACAGTAATGCCTGTACTACAAAAATACAATGTGAAACATTCCTTCTACTGGCACGGGAGACCTTCAAAATTGAAAACACAAATATATCGTCTGCTTATAACGGTTAATACGTTGATCAAAACATACCGAAACTCTGCACTTTACACATCTACAGTGGGGTATTGAAAGTAGAGTTATCTGCCCCTATCTGTGCACACTCGGAAAACATCGGTCTCTCTCGGTAACCTCCGGCATGTCATTTGTTAAGGGCGGATCGAACAAACACCTTGACATCACGCTGGTGCTAAAAACTAATGCCAGGTTTTCCAGAGATCATTTATTATTATTGAAGGTCGTACGTCTGTGTGAATATATGGGAGTTACGATAACCTAGAGATCAATACCATACGAGTGTCAGAAATGTACCATCCCATATTTCTGTAAGAAATGGATATAAGTTTACATGACACCCGTGGAATATTGTATCAAACAGATATTTATGCCACCAATTCGGGCTATCTAATAGCACTACATGTCTCATATGAATGTGATATTAATTGACCTAGCAAAAATAAGGAACGAAACAAGGGAAATATTTTCTATTTCTACTGAGTTATATTTCATATTATTACCCACGTGGTACTTCGAAAAGGGGTTTCATAACAAACATCTTCGAGGGTTTTGATTGGCTAATACGTGAACTTTGACATTACCGGTATTACTTTTATCACTCATTCCATTCATGATTTTCACACCTTCTGAGAGCATGTAAAACGAGAACACTATGAAATTAAATAAAATTTATTTTTTAGTGTGATTACAAGCATAGGTTTTCAATCTTTTAATAACTCGAGTTTC